TTTGCCTGATCAGCATTCTCAATCTCGTCACCTTTCCTCTCGCTACAGTATTTTCTCCTTCTCCCCTCTGTATCAGAGTGACAGTTTGGTGGATTATAATGGAAACAGTCAACACCAGAGACTCTGATTCAAACGGGAACAAAAGCAGGCAACTGATGTGAAGCATTTCCACCAAATAATGTCTTGGGCTTGAAGGTTTTCAAGAGTATTTCTGGATATATAAATATTTGTTCTTTTACTTGAATAAAAATGAGTCCCAAAATTATTTTAGAATCGGCACAAATTCACTTTTAAAGCTTGTTTTTTTGCAGACACAACATTGACATTTCATCACCGTGCAAAGTTGAGAGTGATCATATTGATAATGGTAGCGCATGTGAATGAAGAACAAAAGGTGTTGCACCAGGAAGCAGTGAAAGCCTCGACAGTTACTTGGACTCTCTGTGCTCCAGAGAAAGGTTTTATAAGATGCTTTCAAACTTTGTTTTCTTGACTTTTCAAATCTTTACAACATTATAAGGCTTTTAAGGCGTCAGTGTATACAGCTTAAGTTGAGGGACAAAGACACTGGAAAATGGCGTTTTATGTCACTTTCTGGTTTGCTGTCATTCACAGTCATGGGGGAGGACTCATAATTCACTGCTGTGATATTTTTTTACAGGCATCAAAGCCCTGATCATTCAAGTAATTCAGCTTTGTCTCTGCAGTGTCACATGAGTGTGTGACAGTCACCATTTTCAACCACGTGGGGGAAAAGAGTATATTAGCATCAAGTAGACAACAGCCAGATGCTGCATATGCTTAGTGTGAATTATATAAATATATTTTCATTAAAATGTTACTCAGGGTTACAGATCTTCACACACAAAACAACCCCTCGTGTTTTTTCACCTCCCTGGAAAAAAAAAAAACTTTTTCACTTTCTTTTGCAGATCTAGAAATGACAAGAGATTAAATGAGGCCTCGCACATGGCGCCCCCTGTGTCCTCCCCTCCTTACTCCCCCCTCCTCACCCCAGCTCCTCACCACATCAGGATACACTTGTTCTGGTGAATTCCGGTTTCAAACGGAACGCTGCTTTGCTCTGGTTTTCTGCAGGACCAGTATTAAAAACAGGCACAGGCTGTCTCTCGGTGGCCCTGTGGTCAGGGAGGGGGAGCCTCCAACGGCCTGTTGTACTCACACACCTTCGAAACCTCACGCACTCCTGCTTCCTCCCCCTGAGCCTTCCTCCCATACTCATCCTCGAAAGGCCACATGCGCACCCTTATCACCATGTGAGCAGAATAAAGAATTAAAAGTTCCTTCCACAGGACGCAGAGGTCACCACCTCCTCCTGCGGCGTTCACGCTGTTACATCACTGATTCCTTTTCTACTTTAGACACACCGCTGTTGAACCTGTCTGGAAAATACTCTAACTATTACATATTATAACTGTATTTTGAAGTTATGAAAAGAAAAATCTCCAATTCTTCTAGTTGTAGTATTTATGTTGTCCTTTGACCTCTAACCTCTGTTATGGTGCCCTAGTGTTGAAAAGAAGAACTGCAAAGAGTTTTGGGGTTTGAGTTGAACCTCAAACCCGCAAAAAACTGTATTTTAACAATTTGTAAGTCAAAGCTGTCTTGTTTTTGCTCTTGTTCTGATGAACCCATCCGCCTGATGTATCAAAAACACTGAACGAAATCAAGTTTTACTAAAACATATAGCTTGACATCATTTACCTTCTCATGCAGTAGTGTTCACATAAACTTTACCCAGTTATTGTTTTCAACTGTTTATTTTCATACAGAGCACAATATCTATTGTTCTGTAGTTTCTCTGTGCAGAATATGTCTGCCTCTTTGTGTTTGTGATGGAGTTGCAGTTTCTTTTGTGAAAGTGCCAGTAAGACAGCCGGAAAATCATATCCCAGATCTACTCTTTGCTAAGCAACATTGCCACCTGGTGTTAATCAGAGACAGACTGGCTTTCTTATGTTTCCCTCTAAAAGTAGTCAAGATTAAGGCCGATGGGCTTCAAACTGTTTATCTGTGAAAGCTGGACATTTTCATGCTCTTTATGAAATACCTGACCATTTTGTTGGTCATCTTTTGATCTATGCAGGTCCTCTCTCTAACTGAACTAAATCTGAGGAGGGACTGGAACTTGTATTCTGACTTAAGTGAAATTGCAAAGTGTATACTGAAGTTAGTCTAAGCCTTCACACATGATATTGTCACTTTTTACACAGAGTGAGGCTGATTACTTGATGATCAGCTTTACTGGATTTATGGATGGATATTGGCTGGATAAATAAATGACGAGTTCAAAAAAAATAAAATAAAATGTTTTGCAGTGGCCATTTAGAGATTTGGCTTTTGTTCATTGTCTGTAACGTTTCTGTGACCATCATGACTATACAGATCAGCCTGTGCATCAAATGCAGCAGATATGCAGCAGATAGCCAGATAAGACATCTTGTGAATGTCTGCCTCTAGAAGTGTAGAGAGTGCTCTCAGCACACTATGAGGGCCAACAAAAGAGGTTCAAAGATGAGTTAGACGTATGTTTTTAATCTGATGTCTTCTCGTGGCACACTGTAATGAATGACACAGGTCACAGGGGAACTTCCTTCAGAGGAGCGCAATGTTTCTCAGAGGGATGTGCTGGCTAACCGCTGCCCAGGCTGGGCTTCCGTCCCTGGGGCGGCAGAGCCTGCCGGGTATCCCTCACACCCTGCTACACCACCACTATCACCCCACTCCAGACACTGTGCCAGGATACTGTGGTGACACAACCCTGGGCCTCTGTTCCTCCCTTGTCAACAAGACTGATGGATGCAGAGAGGAGGAGAGGAGAAAAGAAGAGGACGCATTGATCTGTAAAGTAACTGCAGCTCAGAGTAAGAATGAAATGTATGTATTTATCCATTTATTTCTTGGGGGGATGAATTGAGAACGAGGGATGTAATGCAAGGAAAAAAATGAATGTGACGATGAGTAGAAAATGACAAGGAGTTGGAACAAGTGATTTATTTGTTTATTCAGTAATTCATTTTTTTTTTAGGCTATTGAACCTATTGAGCTGCATTTGAGAGATTGATCATAATTAACATGTTTCAAAGACAGAAACTTTATTCAAACCAACAGGACAATGTGTTCATTATAATTTGACCCACTGCAGATGATTCCAGTATCTTCAACTAAAATAAACATTTTCTCTGACTCTCCAGTACGATCAGGAGCCACCAGGGGGCACAACATGGAGCCTTTCACCTTGCAACCTTGCAGTGGTTTCTCTAGTATTACAGTGCGCGCACACACACACACACACAAAATCAAATGAGAAAGCTGATATGCATAATAGCTTATATGGATGATTGGTCTTGATTACTTATGATTAACTGTGTGCTGTCTGTGTGTTTGCATGTGTGTGCAAGTTTATGTGTAAGACAAAGAAAAGGGGAAAGGGAGCTCGTGGCTGCATAACAACAATCAAGGCGGCATGATCAAACTGTCCTCAATGGAGGCCATTTTATTTCTAATGTGCACTTGTTTTAATGAAGTCAAGCACATCATGCACCTCCTTTTCTGCTGAGAGAACAACTGTAGTCTCCAATAGTCTCCAATAGCCTCTCCTGTGTGTGTGTGTGTGTGTGTGTGTGCGTGCGTGCGTGTGTGTGCAGGTGATTACGGGCATGTCCCAGTGTGTGTATAAGTAGTGTATGTGAAATACCGTGATTGGTCTGGAGTCTGCCCGCGGTGTTTAGATCAGAGCCCCCTCTCTGGTTAATATTAGACACCCTGCTTGTCGGAGAGACTGACAGCTCACCGTGAACACTGCTAAAATAGGTGCAGCCATCCACACACTCACTGATCATCCCAACACCATCTCCACACAAAGACACAAGCATCGCACATGCACGGCCAAAGTCAGCGCTCACGCACCAACTCTAAACTCCCAGAAAAGCCTTTGTGAAGCACAGCCAGAGAGGGAGCCGCCCGCCTGACGCCAACTCCAAAAAGCAGGTGAAGCAGAGTGTGTGCTCTGTGTGTGTTTGAGTTGATAGTGGTGGGTGCAGGGCAGTTTCGTGGTATGACGACAGAGTAAGGCTCCTAACGGCCAGCAGCAGTGTGTCAGGCTTAGACCTGGGAAAGTATGAGCAAGGCAAGGTGAGAAAAATGGCCTCTACAAAACTGTTTAGTGTCAAACTGTGAGCTTGTGGTTTGGCTCTATGTTAATACAGTTGGAGGCAGAACACAGGGGCCTGTGAGTAGACAGAGACAGGTTTAAAAATCCCTATCAGCTCTCTGTTGCATGAACAACATGGTGATAAAGTCTGAATTTGAGAAGCTGTGTAACACCTAACTGTTAGAGCCCCCTGCAGGGTCACAATGACCTCTTTGCCTCATAGAGTGAGACATTTTCTCTCATGGCATCATCTGACCTAAAACACATGTGAGCTGTTGCAGACAGTAGCCTATTTTAATGGATCATGGAGCTTAGGCAGGTAGGGGCCCATGCATTCTTGTAGGATCACTTTTATGAACAGTTTCTGTTCTAGTATGTTGTATGTGAACGTGTGGCACCACTATAAAATCACCCTTTACGTTTAAATAATGATTGCATGTAGACACAGCACCAGTAGGCTTCCTAGTGATTCATTAAAGTACCACAGAATGTTATTTCTAATGTACAATAAATATTCGCCAAATGTATTACGATAACAGCTTTTATAAGCGGTATTTTCACTATCTATTTCTTTCTATTACTGCTATGGAGAAACGCTATAAATGTGGTTTTGCAAGAGAGATGCCACTTAATAAACAAAAAAATATGTATATATGGAGTGTAGCTTCAAACAGTCTCCTAGTGAATGTTTAGACATATCTTTTGTATATTTTTTTCATCTATTAGCTGCCACCTGCATGTAACTGATAAGTGACATGAAAGCTGCTCTGTCCGCACAGTGACTTAAAGAAAACTGACATAATTATCTGAGAATTGTTGCTATTACTTAGGATGTTCCGACAACGTTTCTGGGTCTCGTCTTCATCTCCACCCTCTTGAAGGAGTAGCGTTCTCCAGTTCGTCCATCTGTCAGGATGTACCATGTCCCCCAGTAGATCCCGTTGGTCACCCCACTGTAGCGCCCACGGTAATAACGTCCATTCAGGTTAGCTGCCAGGCAAGCATCGAACCACCAGCCTGCACCGTAGTACTGACCACAGTTTCCAGCTGCATAACGGTCGTGGTCTCGGTCAGCCGTGCTGAAGGATCTGCTGTCGTGGTTGTAACGTTTGCTGTAGCTCAATGCATTGCCCGCATCGCCAGAGTACTCCCGTGCTGTCAAACGATACCTGGAAGAAAGAGAAACAACATATGACACATTTATGAGGATTGTGCGTAGCATCCAAATCCTTATGTGTGTACTGGGGAACCAAGTGGATACACATTAAACAGACACACACACACACACACACACACAACCAGCCATGCACTGACCGTACTGACCGTACATGCACTGGATTGTGGTATAATACCACAACCCAGATTTCTGTTGGCGAGATTCAACTGGAAACATTTGATGTCACATACTTCCATGCGCCAATCAGAGTTTAGCAACATTTGAATCAAGACTTAATGACATATTTGACGTTGTTTCCTTATCTTGCCAGCACTGTCAATAAAACCCAATCAAACTACAAGCAAATATTCACAATAAAGCAAATTCTAAGTGTGTCTCAGTTATAAATGATAACCGAGACATTTCTTTCTAAACTTTGATTGTTGTCCAATTTCAGGGGCTTAAAGATAGTTAATTCCACCCTTCTAACTGTTGGAGAAAGTGTGTGTTTGTGCCTCTGCAGTGTGTCTCACCTCTGTGCCTCTGAGGCCACTTTGAAGTGGTTGTAGGTAGCATGGCGTTTCTGCTGGTGCCAGTCCTCCAGCTCAATGCGGAGTTGGTGTTGGCCAGCGGAGGTGAGGGCGTGCAGCGCTGTGTTCCCCAGCCAGTGCTCTCCCTGCGGACTGCCAAAGCCCTCCCGGTATTCCTGCCATGTCCTGTTGAAGTCCAGTGAGCCGTCCCGCCGATTCTGGATCACCGTCCACCCACCACCCGCCGTCTCCATGTCACATTTAGCCTGAGCCAAAACAAAGTCTTTGATATTATAAAGCCTAGATTTTAGTGATCCACAGATAGCACACACATCTCTAAAAGAAGAGGAATGGGTTGGGGGTCCGTCTTTGTGTTTTATGAGTGTGGTGAATCTGAAATACCTCCAATGCCGGCCTGTGCAGGTCAGGCTGGATGGTGTAGATTCCATTCTCTTTGATCCCGAGCCTGTAAATCTCTGCACAGTCCTGAGGATGTAACCTCTCCAAGGGGGCAACTGAGAACCACACACAGTACATTTTTATTCAACTTAATAAGCAACAATTTTTTCATGTGGTCACTCCTGATGCCCTTACCTGTGGGTGGATGTTGTGTGATGCTCTTCAGGAAAAGCAGCAGGTCTCTCTCCCCCTCTCTTCCCACGGCTGCACTCTCTGTCAACCAGAGAGAGATTGGGTTATCAGTGAGACGCAAGGGTTGAAAATACAAGCTTTGCCTCTATGTAGTATACAGAGAGGGGTTCAAGTTTGTATGATGAATCTTCCTCACGTTGTGAGCCTTACAATATGTGTGTGTGTCTGTGTGTGCTTGTAAATTCAATTTTTCTCATCCTTCTGAGTGCAGTAAAATTCCTATGCACTCACCTATGACCGACACTTAGCAGGCCTCATTGAGGTTGTGTTTACTGTGAGTGGGGGAGTGACTGTGCTGTGTTTCTGTGTGTGTGTGTGTGTGTGTGTGTGTGCGTGTATTTGTTTGTTTGTTGCCGAGGTGGAGGATATATACGTATATGTACTACTCACCGAGTCGTTTGGCCATCGCCCCAAGGGCCTGGCTGTGACAGTGGAGGTCACACTCTGTCAGCACAGCTGCCATTAGTGCCAGGATGGCTCCTAGAGAGTTGTTTTCCTGGCCCCCGGGACTCCAGGGGCTCCCAGTTTCCTGGAGAGAGCGCATGCAGCGCTGCAGCTGAACGAGACGCTCTTTGACACCTCCAGTCTGCAAAGACAGTGCTCACAGGTGATTCTTGGTAAAACATTGTTGCACACAACAGTGCCAAATCCTCATTATTCACCAAGGAAGATTCATGTCTGTTGTTGAGTGAAATAATGATTTTAAATTACGAAAATGTGCATGTGCATTATCATACATCCTAAAGTTTAAAAGCAAAACTCATAGCTCAGTGGCATGTTTTGTGTCACACTCAATCTGTCTCTTACACTTACATCAGGCATTGTATTCATGTCCCTCACACACACACACACACACACACCTGTTGCTGCATGAGCTCAGCACAACCATATGATGAGGACATTTTTAAAGCAGATCTAATTTTATCCCTTCTTTGATTGCTTACAATGTCAACATTGCTCCATGTCTGTTAGGCGGTGCCAAGTTTAGTATGCCGACTGTCCCGTGAGAAAGGACCTGCTGACCTGTGCCTGACAGTCTCCCTGACACACGTGCATGATTAGACAGGGGGTCAGCTCTGCTTCAACTCGCTCATCAATATTTCTGAATCCTCTCACTATTACATGGCTGAGATTAAAAGTTGTATTATCTGGCTTTTCTTAGAATAACATTTTAAGCTTTGTAAACAATACATCTCATTGGGACTGCCACTACACTGTAGGTGATGTCACTCACCTTAGGCTGAACCTGGGGGAGCTCGTGCCTGTGCTCCACCATCCGAGGAACATCTGAGATGGCTGGAAGTGAAACCCTCATCCTGCAGGCTGTTGTGCCAGTTTGACCCTCACTGGCCCCGGAACCCACTCCTGCTCCCGTCCTGGGCTGGATGGGTGCAGCCACCAGCATGTCTCTGCAGGGAGGGTGCGTGCAGTCCGGAGACGCATCCGAGGACAGCAGTGCTCCCACATACAGCGACAGCAGAGGAAGCAAACTGAGAGAACCGAGTGGAACCATGGGAAAATGCAGAAATGCAGGCTCGCCCTGACCTTTGTCTTAAACTCTTGAGCAGTGGTTCAGAAGGAAAACCTTCTTTCTCTGAGTTGTAAGTAGTTTGTCCTTTTGTTGTTGATGATTCTTAGAAAACTTTCACGTCACTTTCCTTTATCTCAACAACTGCCTCTTCAGGTGTAAAGTGTTTTGCTGACCTGTCTTTTTTGTTTAAATATTTATATTGCCGTCCTTGACTGTCTTGTTCTCTATTTGTGCTTCATTCATCCTCTTCTTCTTCTTCTTTCTTTTATCCCCTCAGTTCATCTCATTCCCGGTCCTCTTTCTTCTGCTCTCTGTCTGTTAGTGAGGTTGCTTTGGCTCAGATTCCTAGATAACTGCGGCACTCTTTGCTGTCTGACACAGACTAATGCACCCACCCCCCTGTGGCACACACACACACACACACACACACACACACACACACAATCTGTCCATCTCATTAACTCATCTCATGCTCTCTCTCTTAGACTCCCACACAGCCACACACAGAGGTAAATGTTTACACACACACACATACATGCAGTGTAACATTAAGCAAATGTAAACCAGTCTTTCACAGATTAATGGACTTTTGTTTTTAATGCTGTGGATGAGCTGTTCACCTGCCTCACATGCTGTATGTTCATGCATGAAGAATAACTTTTTATTCCTCTGAAGAATCCCATGCCCATTCTGTACAGACTTTCACCTCCTCTTAGTCTTACCCCTCAACGTGCATACGCAGCAATGTTTGTAAAGATAGAAATGTAGCAGATGCCTAAAGTATGTGGCTCCTTTCCTCCTGTGAACCAGTTTCTCACTCACGTCCTTTTGTGTCGCAGTGTTTGTGTTTACAAACGGAGGTCCAAAGAGGCCATAAAGACTCTACATTCAATAGGAGCAAGAAGGCAGGAATTCCTCTATAAACACCAGTCATCAGGAATCTGCAGAGGCACACTCCCACTAACTAGGAGAGCAAACACATACATGAAGACACACTTACACATGAACATGGAGCAGGAGAAAATCAAGATGAGGTCTCTGTTAGGCTTGATGAGGAAAAATGACCTCGCAATGTGAAATAGTTGTTCTGATGATCCAATTGCAGCACTGTGTCATTTAGAAAAAATGTAGGAGTCTCTGAGTTAAAATAAAGATGTTAAAGAACACTCAGTCAAGAAATGTATGTTCCTATATTCACACACTTTTCTCTTGGTACATAATTATTTAAAGATTCTGTTAGATAAATGATCATCGCAACACTGAGAATACGATAAACAATAAGCTCTATATGGACGCAACAGTTCTGAATTTCTCCGATAACTAATTTCATAATGTTTTATTTGTATTTATTCTTTGATTAACAGAAAAACAACTGCAAATGAGTTAGTTTAAATGACTAATGTCAATCTGTCGTCTCTGGCCAGATGTTAGAAATGTACACTAAAAATAGAATATAACACATCAAAATATTATACGACATTATAAATATCACATACAAGATAGTAAAACACACATTCACCAATAAATACAGCCACAGTAAGACCAATGAAAATACTAAACGTGACTATTGTGAGTCATTCAGTTCCATTTAATTTAGCTGCGTCTCAAAAGAATTCAAACCAGAAACTCATTTCAGATGTTACGAATAAAGTTCTCCTTTTGAAAAGATTGTGTGTGTGTCACACTAACCAGAAATCATATTTCTTAAAGAACTTAAAGTGTGTCTGTGAACTCAGTTGTGAGTTTACGCAGACATTTTGCACCAAGTGGAATTAGTGGTATCTTTTTTTATATCTTTATATCATAATTAGATGTTAATATATCATTACCACACATTTGTTATCGATTTAAAGTTATTTTTCAATTTTAAAGTGTCACAGTATCCTCAAATGTTTTGTCATACTTTGAAAGTATACATATTATGTGTTTTAATTGGATAGGAAAACAGACATAACCTTTCTGTCATATCCGTCAGACAAGTATTTTAAAGATATCACATGACGCACACACACACACACACACACACACACTCTTTCATGGACTAACAGTCTGCAGACCGGCTGTAAAGACTGACATGCATCCCAATATTTGCATGTTTCTGCAACACTGTGTTTTTGTGCTTGGAGGGGAAGTATCACAGAAGCAACTCATCTCACCTTATTTTTAGTTTAACAGTAACATTTTCTCAGCACAATGTCAACAACAGAGTGTTACATTGCTTTACAGAGGCCCAAAACCTAAATGTGGACTGGTGTGGACTGGTGTCCGAATTTGGTTCATTCATTCAAAGTGGGTTGATTCTGTCCTCTAGTGGTGGATCATCAGAGCTCTCCCTTTGGTCTTTAATTCACTGCAGTTAATCACACAGAACCATCACATCTCTAACTTGTTCTGTTGATCATGTGATGTTGAAAAAGCAGCACTGGTGCGGGGGGGGCAGGAATATTAAAGTAAGAGGGCCCCTCATAGCAGTGAAGTAGTGTGCACACACATATTTGCTGATGAAGTTCATGTAATATGCTATGTAATGTTCATGTAATTTTAAGCGTAGTATCGTGTTCATGTGGAGTGATACTCAGCCAAAGTCTACACATATAATCGTGATGATTTTGTCAGGGTTAATTATCTCCGTTTGGGCTCAAGGCATAAACATTTTAACAGACATGTGTTTCAAACTGGGGGTGTGAGGTTTTCAAAATAAGGGCATTTAGGAGGCAGATGCATTGATCTTGATCTTTATTTTCTTTTGTGAACCCTTCATCATAAATTGCTGCAATACTACTACTTTTACATCCACATGTGGAGGGACCTAATAAAACTCAACCTCTATACTAATCATGATACGATATACTGTAGGTTCATATCTCTTTACATGAATTCTTCTTTAACTGTTGCATTGATCTGAGCCTGAACATTGAACTGTTTTCAAAGGTTGCTCTGTCCACCAAAGACCAAAACCCAGAAAGGTTAGTCAATGCTGAATATCAAAAACAGAAGTGGGCTGAGTCAGTGGATTAGCTGCGTGTGACGAAGGACGCAGGCGTTGTTTTGGAGGAGGAAGTGAAAGGGGAAGAGAGACGCTGGGGATAGCAGACAAGCCTTGAAGCAAAGTGCCAAATTTACACACCGGCTGTAGATAATCTGCATCGTCAATTTACGACAAGGGTATTGTTAGTGTTCACGCAACGGGCAACGTATTTCTCTAAGAATTTGAAACGTGGTATCGCCAAATTAACGCTAGCTAACGAGTTAAGTGACAGCGAGCTAGCTAGCTAGCTAACGTAACGCCTAGTTAGCCAATCACGCTAACCGTCCTGCACAACAACAACTAGTCAGCGCGCAGCCTGCTCGAGTCCCGTCAAGAAGTCGAAGGTAGGTTCTTGAAACGACAACTGTGTGATTTATATGCACAGTGTTTGCTCTCTCATCAATTCATCCAGTGTCCTGTGAACGCCGACGCTGTGACGTTAACGGCTAATGGTGCAATGTTTTTCGAGAAGCCGGTGGACAAAAACAAGGCCGGCCTGGGGCTCCTTTGGGTCGACTCCAACAAGGAAGGAGAACCGGGGAGACGAGGTTTGGTCGTAAACAATGTGTCAACATGTTGACAGACGGAACGTTGTTTTCGCTCAATACTTTAGAGAAGTAGGGAGTGTGGGGCATAAAACTAGCACTCTCTGTATGGTTGATTAATCACGTGTCGAGGTGTCTTCATGGTTATCGACTTTATCCATGACTGCTGTCAACAAGCTGTCTTGAGAGAAACATCCCGTGTGTCTGACATAGACGACACATGCACCGGGTTTTGGTTTTGGTTTATGACTCACAGATCACGCAGGTACATGTCCCAGATTATGTGTCTAAAGGTGCTTTATTGTGGCTACAACGCCCATTAACCTTCTTTAAAAGCTATGAAACCTGCCGAGGTGACGTGTGACCTGAAATCTATTGCTTTTCTTATTAAAGTTCTAACTTTTTTTTTTAACCTTATTTCGTTTTCATTGGCTTTCAAAATCATACATATTACATAAAATGTAGATTATGATGACTGTGGCATGCTACTGCTCTGTGATTTTGTTTTTAATGATTGATTGCAGTAATTAATTTGAGATTCAGAAGGTTAAAATTTTACTAATCAAGATGCATGCTACATAGCTAACCAGGAAACATAAAGATGGCCTGATTGTATAATATGTGGAGATGGGTTTGAACATTGAGAAACATCTGAAGTCTATTGAAATCTATTTTTAGTCCAGAGTTTGTGTCTATGCGTGCTGGCATAATCCATATCAGTAGTGATCTGTGAATTCCAGCTGTTTGTGCCAGTAATTTACAGGCAGAGAGGGCAATATGTCCAGCACTTTACCTTCGTACAACACATGTGAGGTCCATGAACAGTCCAATATTAACTTGTGTAGTGATGGACAGTTGCCTCCATGAAAGAAAATCTTAATATTGGTGATGCCAAATTGTTTACAGATACAGATATTTGCCCAGTCATCCTTCTGGATTCCTAAATAATGTAAATCGACGGGAGACTGTCCATGAACAATGGAAGGATAAAACATACATAGAAGAATGTGGCTTTAAAAATTGTTTGAATTATCAGTTTGTCAAAGAATGAAACTATTTAACTTTCTGTTTTGCCATAATTATTTATATTTGTGTTATTTTTAAGGATCGAACAGAGCAGTTATGTATTAAACTCATAATAGTAGACAGGAAATGAAATACTAGATGGATCAAATTATTCTTTTCTCAGGAATAAAAACCCAACATATTAGTACCACTCTCTACAACACTACTCTAAACTATATAACCCTTTGCATAGTTTAGTGCAAGCTTATGTAATAAAAAGGTTTGCACAATTGTTTGAAATTGACTAAACTGCTCATGACACAGCAGAAGGAATTTCTTAACAGAAAATGATGGCAAACACATATTTCCAATATATTAATCTTTTAAGGACAATTAACCAGTACAGTGTTATTTTCTAGAGTGCCATATCTTCAGGTATTTCCACAGACCTGCAGATATTGTATAAATACCTTCAGAGTTTGTTTGTTTTCCTTTATCTTTATTTTATCTTTAATAACTGACTGTTAAGTGAGAAGCAGCCACCTGATTTCTGAACCTCTTGTCTGAGATGATCGTCATGCACTCGGGTATCAATGTCTAATGCTCTACTGTTTATCAAAGTTTAAAGACCTGAGTTGAGTTTCTAGACTTAAGAAATGTGCTGTTGTCAGCAAATCAGTCCCCACCATACTGTTCTCATACTGTGCTTCACAGTTTGGTAGCCACTGGAGTGCTGTGTGCTCGTTCCTTTCAGAAAGTGTGCAAGTGTACTTTCCAGCTCCTGATGGAGCGCTTGTGTTTGTAGTGTTTGTGTTTAGCTTCAGAGTTTGAATTCATTTTAAGGGCTTAGGTTACAGCAACCTGTTTGAGCTGGCAGATTGGCATGTCTAAAATATCTATTGTGCTTTGTGCATGATGATGTTTACTGACGTGAAGAGCTGATGGGAAGCGGTCATGTTCTCTGTTAAACCGTTGTCAAACCGGTTACCGTGCTTCACTGCCAAAAAACAATTAAAGTAATTATTTGTATTCCCCCAAATCTGGGACAGAATTTTTCATTTAAAGACTTTTTTTTTAATTGCAAACAACATTAGACTAACAAATACATTTGCTTATATATTTTGTCTGTGTGCTATGTACTGTAAATACCTACCATATATTATTATGGCCAAAGTGACGGTTAGGATAATGGTCAGTGTTATGAGGAAACATTATATCATAGGTTACATATTTGCATCAGACAGCTGCTACTGCTGCCACTCTCACTGAGGGTATACATTCAGTGATGCTGTGAAGGCAAATCAATGTCAAAATCCACAATAACAAATGAGATTTATGCACGCAGGTGTAGAGGTCCCGCATGTGCAACTCAAACAGCCGTGCACGCAAATTACTTTCCACTTCACTCCATGTAGAATGTTGTCTCCTCGCGTGATGTGAAAGTGCTCGCAGAAGTTATTTGCATGCGCGGCTGTTTGAGTTGCACGTGCGGGGCCTCTACGCACGCACGTGCGCATTTATGATTGCAGATTTTGACATTGTTTCGCCTTCATATGATGCAGACCTTCAGCAGGCTTTCTACGTTTTCCTTCTCGTCGGTAGCAATATGATGGACTAGTTACTTTGCACAGTTGAGACAAAAGTGTGAGAAAAGATGAAGCAGCCTGAGGAGCAACTGGAGGGATGTTCTTCACATTTGGCACAAACCTCCAAAAGCTCACTGTGACCTCACAAAACACGTTTTTGGCCATAAGTCAAGACTTCATATGCTAATTAGACAATTTAATGAAATTGGCTTATTAGGATGAAGTGATGACATTTTTCGACAGACATAGATGTATCATAGAGGTATAGTAAAATTGACTGGTTGGCGAAGGAACACAACAGCAAGACGCTCATTTTTAAAAATGTAAATGCAACACAGTTCATTTTGTAATAAGATAAGTCATTATATTTCTGTCTGTCATGAAGGAGTGATATATAATGCATCAGCATCTCATTGCTTCTTTCTGGTATTCTACAATTGCACTGTTAACTTCCTCACTTTTTTTTGGTTATATGAATCTCCCAGCTGCGATTTAGACATTTTCTAAATGAATCGCATCAGCTAGGGGGGGGGGGGTGTAATACATAATTTTCTCACTCACTTAATATCTCAGATATTGCTTCCTTAATTTTGACGAGATATGGAAGAAATGATCCGATCCACTGCTCACTGGAGAGCTCAGAAATGACACTGATTGAGGATTGAGAGTGTACTAACATCAACACATGCAGTAGAAGGTTGTATTCGGGTAGTGAAAGCGATATCACCAAAAACATCTCGGTGAGCCACTTGGTTTAGAGTTGTAGTGAAAAGAAGCAGTCAGTTGTCTAAAGGGGAACTTCCTGACGTGCATGAATGAGAAAGAATGATGATGTGTTCCTCGTGATTTGTTCAACAACTTACAAAGCACATGACTGGAATGAGTGGTATTCAAACCTGATTGGTCCAGAGGCGTAAAACTCTACACACAACTTTGTAGTCTAAAGAGCCTGTCTGCATAGAAACAGATTTACCTTTGTATTGATTTTATTGTCCCTGAGCAATAAAGAACTTGGCTTTGACTTGCAATGAAGGGGTTAGGAAGGCATTGTTTATTGCTGTCTGTATGCTGAACTTTTTGTTGTTTGTCTTTCTGCAGCTGTGGAAAAATGACGTCCAGGAAGAAAGTGCTCCTGAAAGTCATCATCCTGGGAGATTCCGGGTGAGTCATAACAGGATATTTCTTTCCCACATGTCAAAATCAGCAATTCGGGGTATGAAAGGATCCGTGCGGTTTGTTCTAAAAATTGATTGGTGGGGAAAAAAACCTAAAAGCAAAGGTATTATTTCTGTTGTGAGTCAACTCATTGAGGACTGGTCTGATTCGTGTTACTTCCTTGCTAGCAGGAGTTATTACTCTGCCATAAAACTGTTACTGTTGTTCAACCACATGTTTTTATTTGCAGACCTATTGAGACATAATCACTGCCATTACCTTTCATGCCAAGTACTGCATGGGGTTGAGAAAAGTATTGTATGCAAATACTATCCTAAGCGCACGTGATGTTTCACAGCATTTCTTAAATATTGTGATATGAGATACTAGAGCTGTGTGATATTGGAAAGATCTACTGTGTTTTAATTGTTTCCTCTACTGATGACGTTTTGTCTGTGACATGTTCCTAAATTCCGTTCCCTATTCCAAACCATAGCTTGGTAATGTTTTCTTCATGGCTAAAATAAATTCCAACAGCAATGTGGGACTGATGGCCAAGAGGGTGAAAACATTCGCTGCTCTAAAAGTCAGGAAATTGCATCACTTGACAATATTGCAGCCTTACAGACATTAAGCCGTAGTATATTATGAAACTACTGTCATGCTCACCAGATTGGACCTCAACAGTGCAGTACAAGATATTTAAAAAGTCCCAGGGTTAACTTCATAGATGGTCCCTTTAACCCTTTACTTGCCCTTCAGACCCAACATCTTCAGCAGAGATAGCGGCCTCTGACTTAAAAAAAACTTTGTCATTTACATAATATGTTCAGAAATAACCAATGTGTACGGGAGCTGACAAAAACGGCAATGCTTAAAATTTATTATTGTGGTGCCAAAAGGCACGGGTCAAAAGTTGAGCACACCAGTGCAACCAATGTAAAAAGTTAGTCTAGATTCCAGCACTGACTAGTTTGGGGCATTGATCTGTTTACGCCTCCTGCACAATACCGATCAGTGCGCCATAACCCACACAGGTCATTCAGTTGTTTGCACTGATTAGGGATCAGATTGAATTAGCTGGAGCCGTTTTTCAACCTATTGCTTCATAGGTGAGAGGGAAAACTGCTATTATCACATGATTGATGTTGTTAAACTTGGAAGGTGGTTTGAGTCGAGCAGCCTCTTGGTTGCATTTACACTTATTTGAGATGACATGGCCACCCGATCCTCTCAAGACGCATGAAATGATTCAAAAGTGTAAATAATCTCTCGATTACATCCATATATCCCCCGGCTCTAAATTAAACTAGGTAATCTAATCACTGCACATTTCATACAGAATATCAGTCGACCTGTACCACCTTTTTATTTTTGCTCTTGCTCGAGCATCTACAGTGTCTGTTATCCTCTTGTCTTCTACTCTTCAGTGTTGGAAAGACCTCCCTAATGAACCAGTATGTGAACAAGAAGTTTAGTAACCAGTACAAAGCTACAATAGGAGCAGACTTCCTCACCAAGGAGGTGATGGTGGACGACCGACTCGTTACAATGCAGGTACGGTAACATTAAAGCTGGAAAGGTTACATCTTGGAGAATGAATCTTTTATTTGTTCCTTCCTTTTACTAGACGCATCCCACAGCATCAGTATTTTTGCATTATCGCCACAGTTAATATTTGTTGCAGTTCTCTCACCTGCTTCTGTGATCTCATCCATTTACTAAAGTGTCGGCCTCCTTGTTTGTCTAGATCTGGGACACAGCTGGCCAGGAGAGGTTCCAGTCTTTGGGCGTTGCGTTCTATCGTGGAGCCGACTGCTGTGTGCTGGTGTTTGACGTGACTGCACCCAACACCTTCAAGACACTCGACAGCTGGAGGGATGAGTTCCTGATCCAGGCCAGCCCTCGGGATCCCGAGAACTTCCCCTTTGTGGTGCTCGGCAACAAGATTGACTTGGAGAACAGACAGGTGATGACCTCATCATAAATCCTTACCTGTGCTGCATTTGAACGTCAGATCCCTTAAACTCCCATTTCAAATGCTCATCAGTAATGGCTGTTGAGAGTGATGTTGAAATCATCAGTGTTTGTTACTCACTCTCAGAGTATGGTTCAATAATAGAATATTAGTCGTGTTTGATGAGATCAGATGCAAACGCATCAACCTCATGCCCATGTCCAGCTTTTTGTGTCTCCAACAGCCGTGGCCAGAGGCATTATGTGTCCGTCCGATCCTCCGTCCCGTCCATTTTCATCAACACGATTTCTCAGAAACACCTTCAAGGAATTTCTTATAGACCGGAAATGCGGATCACCTTTCTGAGCTTAATGATACTTTTTACCTCCACCATAAGACCACTGGAAAAGACTTTCTTCAACATCTCGATTTGTCTGGGGGAATTAAAATCCCAGATGGAAAATGTCAACCTTCCAAAGACGAAAAGGCGATGGGGCATTTGGTGTACCTTAATTGCAAATGGTATCACAGGTCATTTGCACTCGACCCTGAATCAAAATGGTTAAATCCTACTTCTTGTGTGTTTTGGAGGCCAATGGAAGATAACATGGAGCACCCTTACAGGCTACAGGTCTTACCAAAAAGCACAACAATACTTTGTCTTACTGGAATCTTCCCTCCCCCGTTTTTCACAGCAATAACCTCGAGTTGGGTAGGCAACCGATTTCATTCCCTCAATGCAGTAGTAAAGGGATGCACACTCTCCCCGCATTTCAAGACATCCATAAACATTTTAATCTACTCCACACATCTGTTTTTTTTCTCCAACTCCGCACAGCGATGCACACTTAGGTTATGTTCTAAGGCACATCATTTCTCCACACAAACATTTCAGACAGCTCTAACGAGCCCCAGCGGACTGGTCTCTAGAGCACATTACATCTGGCATGAGGCCTCCTGTGAGACCCTATCCGTTGACCGACTGTGGAAGGCGGGCCTCTCCCCAAAGAGCTCCAGCCCATTTTGGAAACTAATATGGCAGAACATGCAACTATCTTCCAGGGAGCTTCGCCATCAAGCTATTCATTTTAATTCTATTCACAGAACATGCGTCACTCTCCGCACATTGTATAAAATGAAAGCTGGATCATCGCCAAACTGCATCCTATGCACTCAAAATATGTTGGGCACATTTTTTCATTTGGTGTGGGAGTGCCCAGAGGTTGCAGGGTTCTGGGAGACGGTTTCAGAGATGATATCAAAGATATTGTCCAAAACAACTTACCAGAAGTTCTGTGACCTAACAACAGCTCCAACTTAGGAGTCGTGTGGACATATCGAGCATAGACGTGTCTGGCTAGTTGGCCTCTCTTGAGAGTCCATAAGGATGGACATTGGAACTTTATTATATATCTGGAAATACTTCTTACAGAGCATGATGATCTTAAACCACTTCACACAAAAAAAACAACAATGTGACATAACATGAAGTTTAACATCTCTGACTTTATTAGTTCTTCTTTTTTTCTTTTTGTGGAAACAACCATGAACCCATCCTTGTATATTCCAGCTCACTGTATTCATGAATCTCTTCCTCTTCATACATGCAGGTAACCACCAAAAGGGCTCAGGCTTGGTGTCAGAGTAAGAACAACATCCCCTACTTTGAGACCAGTGCCAAAGAAGCCATAAATGTAGAACAGGCATTCCAGACAATTGCACGCAACGCCCTCAAACAAGTGAGTAAAAGTAGCTTAAAATGAAAAATGTGTGCTTTATTTGCATGTCTTAATGCAATGATAGCTGAATGGTTTAAAAACCCAGTTTAATGACTAAGTCAGTTACATTTTCTCCCATTCTGATTTTGTTCTTTCCTTTTCTGCCTTTCAGGAGACAGAGGTGGAGCTGTACAATGAATTCCCAGAGCCTATAAAACTGGATAGGAATGACAGAGCTAAACCTTCAGCAGAAAGCTGCAGCTGCTAAGGGACAACTTGGACCATCTTCTCTCTTGGCTTTCTGAAACACCCCGTCACCGGTTCCATCACCTGCACCTCGCTTCCGGGGAGAAGACTCCCCTACTGGTCTTCCTCCTTCACGCCACTGTTCATTCCATCGACACAAACCCTCACGCAGTACACAAATTAATACACTAGCTGATAAATCCAGTGCCCAAAGATCACACGAGAGAAGAATGACACCCCTTCTGACCACAGAGTCCCTGACTTGATAGTGAGTGATCTCCTGTCCCGCCCACCCATTTTTCTGACTTTGGCCCCTGACACTCACGCCGAGGGGGAAAGATGGAGCCATGTTCACAGAGTGCAACCGGAAACTCTAGATCGACTTGCTGAAGCTCTGTAATGTGAGATGATGTTGGCTAATGTCGGCATCCTAAGTATCTTATTCACTCTTTCTGCTTTCTATTGCCAATCTGTCAAAACATAATTGCGTTGAACTATATATATATATATTAATTGGCTGATGTTATTTCCCTAGCTTGAAACACAAACTTGTTTTTTTGCACTTTCTTTTTATGTTTTTTGCCTTTAAATATTATAGAGGGATGACTGATTTTGGGCAACGTCTGCTACACACGCGCAAGCTTCAAATGATACCTCCTCACTTGTTTTCCCTGTCAAATATGTCCCCTGAGAATCTGTTGGAACACTATGGTGATTGTACTGCCTTTTCCCTTCAAGTGAGTGTGTTAATGGGTTTATACCTGCCTCACACTGCAGAAGAAATGTTCCTAAGTAGACATTAAGTAAAAGCTGATACCGCAGACACAGTGTAAAACATGGATTCATTCCTTGATATATTAATATTTGCCTTTTATGTAACATTACTTGTACTGCTACTATTACTGCTGTATGTGTTCTGTTCTTCATCAGACATCTTTTAACGCTATGGAATTACAATACGTGTCACCAACACAGCATACACCTGTCTTCTGTCATGTCTTTGTTATTGCTGTTCTCTCTATCTGCTTGTAGCTCAGGTTGGCTAAGTACTTCATATTTTTAACGGATTGTTCATTACGGTGTATAGATGGTAAATGGCAGATGGATCCAACTGAAATGGACGTTCTCTCTTCCATTTAAAGAAATGATCGAACATCTTGCCCTGGTATTACTCTTTCTCCTTATAGAAAAAAAAAAATCACTGCAATGCCAATGATGTTGTCAAAGAAAATTGGGACGTCAAATAAAACTCTTGAATATATCAATGGTGTAGCATTATGTGTCTCAATTTTTGTTTGACTGTGGTTACTTTCTTACAATATCTTAAAGAATCCATTTGCATGGTGAAGAATTGTTTATTGGCATTTAGGTGTGACTTTACTATTAACATTAACGACGGCGCTGTTCTATTCAAGTGTCCCAGCAAGCCGTCACAGTGAGCGAGCATGCACAATACCCTAAAATCAATGCAGCTGAACGGAATTCAGCCGTCATTAATTTCATTATTTACGCCTTCGCTTCTCCTATTCTGACAAGTCAGAGCGTCTTAAGGGAGGCCTATTTGTATGATAAAATGCACTGCAGTGTTTGTAAAACTTTGTTGATGCCCACGCACAGGTGTTTTCACTTATTTTAGCAGATTAGACCCCTCCTCGGGACTGTGAGGGTGTGTGCACGAGGTGCTTGACTGACAGCCCCCTGACTGGCCTGTGTAGCTGCACCTTCACCTGTACACCATTTTATGATTCTTTCAATCATATGGAATTGGATTCCTTTAGCAAACTCAGACTGTTTCAACTCACTCCTTCATTCAATAGTTCACTTTACAATAAGTAGTACACATTTTGTCCCCACAGCCACACAATAGGTCCACCTGACTTTAATGTCAAAATAATTCAAATCAGCCAGAATAATTGGCAAACTTTTAAAGGTCTGCGTGGCCTTGAAGAACACAGCATTGCACCTGATGCATTTCCATGTGCCATAGTAGCACAAGCACATGAAAATAATGACAGTGAGACATTTTCATTTTCAATTTCATTATTTACACCTGTGCTGTTACTGCTGTGAGTGTCACAGGTCTACAGCCCTTTTTCTCAGCACACATTTCTGATTGTCATAGCCGTGAACGCATTGAGAACGGCTGCATTCCATTTAGATGAGCTAGTTCCAAGGCCCTGGGTTTGTGTGTGCTCGCTCACTGTTACTGGGACACTTGATGGAAGGGAGTCATTAATGTTGCTCCTGTGTGTGTTTCCTGCTATGACAATTCTAAAAATGTCTTCCATGAAAAAGGTCTATTCCCATGGATGTTCAAGCTGAATCTGCTATCCTGCACTTTGCCTAACTATAGAATAAAAAGTTCACATTGCCAGGGCTGTAGTCAGGATTTTAGAACTACTGAGGCTATTAGTCCAGATTTCCCCAGCACACCTTCATCTAATTTAAACATGTCTGACAAGCCCAACTGCTCAATATGGGCTAAGTGCTGCTTTATAATTTAAAGGGATTTTTGTGAGGATTGTAAAGTTTTACAAGTGTCCCTGCACAGAGCTACATTTCTGTTTGCTCTAAGAATCGAACAGAAATGACATCTGTGGCATGTTTATAATTGAGAAAAGTAATTAGCACTGGCATCCAAAATGAAAACCTGACTCCCAACTCAACATCATTCATTTGTTAATTGTATAAGATGTTGAATATGTGCAAGTCCAGTACTCAAAAAACTCAAACTGAAAAATAAAACAACCTGTTAAACAAATATTTGCTTTCAGTAATAACCAGGTAGACTGGTATTGCACGTTTTGCCTTCAATGTTATTCTTTGGTTTGGAAAAAAAGGGAATTATTCGGCTTTTTCTTTCATTATAGTATTACTGAAAAGCATTAAAAACACAATTGAAACCTCGGTGTTTTATTTTTCATTTTGCTAATTGTGCCCAAAACCTCACCAGAAGCAACCCGGAGGCAGAGTTGAGTTCCGGTATGTTCACGGAAAAACCCTGACCGACAAGTGCAGCTACTTCCGCCTTTAGCCTCATCTCGTCACACAGAGACATGGTAAGAGACATTGAGACGCAATGCGCTGATAAACCGACACAGTTACAAAGTTACGTTATGTCCGAGCGTGTCGACATTGAGCCGTATCCGCTCCTCGGCTACACTGCATCCCTGCAGGGTTTCTTCTCGGTGTATTGTGACTAGCTAAGCAGGTAGTTAGCTCACAGGCTAACGTTAGCCGGTCTGTTTCCAAGCTGAATGACAAACCTAACATAGAACCCTACTTCGTCATTCAGCTGGTGATGCGCGCATTTATCGTGATGACGTGTGAGAGTGGTCGTAGCTCCTTCGTAATATTGTGTTGCTGAGGAATGTAGAGTGATGGACACTTCTGTGGAACGAGCTAACTCTGGACCCAAATTAACTGATACACTACCTGGAGCTGTGCAGTCCCTCAGATGTAAGAAGAACCCTGGCATGTGTTGTTTTTAGTGACGTTTGGAGATAGTCGTGGAATCATGTGTCACATGAGGGATAACGCTTCTTTGTAGATACTTACAGAAAACAAGATGGTTGAGTAAGTTCTTTGCATACACCCAGGTTGAGGGTTAAACACTGGTCTCAGTTTACAGATACACAACACTTGCATACATATATACACACATCAAATCATAGTATGGTATGTCATAAAGATATGAGAAGTGATTGTATTTGTTTAATCGGGACAGGCAATGTTGTTATTTATTTGCATATTAATCTGAGTCCAAGTTTTGTGAGATGGGGTATTTGGAGTTAGGCACTTCTAAAATTAGTAAAAGGCTTGTAGCCATGTGTTTTTTAGATCATATTGTTAATAGTATTTCAGTAAGTGGCTCTGTAATTTTCACAATGCTCAGCTTGCAATGTGTAAAATCTGGCCACATGCTCCAAACCTCTACTATTGTATCCATATAATCAACATTTACAGTCAGCCGTTGTTAGAAAGAAGAAGAAAAAACAACGTCAGGGTTTGCGCTGACTGAATGTGAGTTGCTACAACTAACTGCTCACTGGAGTTCGTCTCATGTTGAAGTAGTCTCCTGGTGGTGGGGAGGACGACACAAAAAAAGTGTTTTTTCATTTCCGCCACTTTGTCTTTAATCTGATAAACAGACTTTTAAAGCGTACACAGACAAGCCCTCAGGCAGCTCTACTTCTGCGTCTTCTCATGAGGGCAGTCTGGACCCTACAGTGACTCACTATCACGTGATATCACACCGGGTTCACACTGAAAGAGAAGCGCTCCCATGTAAACCAATTGGGCCAAATGAGAAACAAAAAATGCTTGTTGCGCGGCAAGATGCGCCTCTGGTGTGAACAGCCAGGCTAGTGCCCAGTGTGAACCCGGCGGTACAGGACGGCTGTTAGGGAACAGTGTGTATTTGAAACGTGTTTATCCACAATCGTACCTGCCTGTAGATTCAGACATTCTTCTTTTAGGAATGTTCCTCATCTACTCTTTCTCGCTTTCCTCCCTCAGACGGCTACCTTGCGCCCGTATCTCAATGCAGTCCGTGCTACCTTGCAGGCCGCCCTCTGCCTGGAGAATTTCTCCTCGCAAGTGGTGGAGAGACACAACAAGCCAGAGGTGGAAGTGCGGTGAGTCTGTCACCGCAACACTGAGTATGACTTTGGAGCGGTGAACAACACCCAGCAGTGCATGAAATCTGAGTTTCACCTCTCTAGTGGACTGACAAATTTGAATTATGTGTTGTTTCTCTCACTTATAGAAGTAGTAAAGAGTTGCTCCTCCAGCCCGTGATCATCAGCCGTAACGAAAAGGAGAAAGTTCTGATCGAGGGCTCCATCAACTCGGTCAGAATCAGCATCGCTGTCAAGCAGGTCGGTCGGGCTGCTGTCTGGGAGCCAATGGTTATGTGTTTAGACCCCGATACTAAACTGCTGGATGCTAAGCAGTTAGTGATTAATATGAGTGACGTAAAGATTAGAACTGTATCTGTAATCCTGACCAAGTTTAACTATTCTGCTGCTGCAGGCAGATGAGATTGAGAAGATTCTGTGCCATAAATTCATGCGTTTCATGATGATGAGAGCGGAGAACTTCTTCATCCTGAGGAGGAAACCAGTGGAGGTAGGTGTGCGTTTACAGTTATGGAAAATGTATTAAATTGAAAATGATTTGTTGCAGGTAGTGGGAACCTTGCTTTACATTAGCGTCAGTTATTTCTGTTTAAAATACTCTTCTTCTTTTTTCCTCCATCTATCTTCACTTCGCAGGGCTATGACATCAGTTTTCTCATCACCAACTTTCACACAGAGCAGATGTACAAACACAAGCTGGTGGACTACGTCATTCATTTCATGGAGGAAATTGACAAAGAGATCAGTGAGATGAAGCTGTCCGTCAACGCCAGGGCTCGTATTGTCGCAGAGGAGTTCCTCAAAAATGTAAGTTGTAGTTATTAGAAATGTTTCTGTTTCAACGCTCGCATTGATGCAGCGTTATGCACCAGTGGTTTAGTTTTTGCATTATTTTTACCTTATTGTCTGTGTTTTGTATGGTGGGACTTTGATTTATGTCGTATATTATGCTGTTATTTTAGGGCTACAATGTTATTAATGTTGTAGGTGTTTGAAGTAGAAAAAAGTTCATGTAATTTCTTCTGTCTTTCTGATTTACTGAAGCTTAGACATTGTTTTTCTTGTACTCCTGCAGTTCTGAGAGAGAGAAGCTGGGAACACGTTTCTTTTGCATTCTTGGCGGTCACTGTGGAGCTTTCACACCGCAGAGCAGAGAGGAGATCTGATCAACTATGAGAAGTGGAGAAACATAAGACGCTCAGTAAAGGTGTACTCGCTGGCAAATGGGGCTTTGCTCTTTAACCGATTATAGAAATATGGATTTTTGTACATATCAATATTCACAACAGACATTCGTTTCTGCCTTTAGAACATTAGAAGTCAGGGCAGCTCCTCAAAAAGCTATTTGTTATCAATATTCATGAGCACAGGGTAAAATGCATTTACATTTAAATGTTTTTTTTAATATATATATATATTATATGAACATAAATTTAATTTAGCTGTGTTTTATTATGACTGACTTTAAACAACGAGGGCAATCATTTGGTGCACGTTTCTTGTATTAGTACAAAAGTCCACAAAATAAACCCTTTTGAAGATGGAAATAATTAAAATAAATATACTTGCTGAAAGTGAAGATAAATAAAAAGCATTATTCTTTGTATGTGATTTCTTTCTTTTTTTTAATGTCATGAAACAAACAGCAGCTCTGTCTTAAACCCAAACATTGAAGGTTTATTCAGATTTTGACAGCTGGAGACGAACAAGGCATTTGGAATTATATTTCCAGTAGTCATTTTATAATATCAAATGTACAACATTACAGAGTTCTCAAAATAATGGCATACCATAAAATACATGTTGATTTACACACACAACTTACATCAAACTGTGTACAGTTTGCACAGCACCAGGCAGGCATTCACTTAAATCATTGGTCAAACAGACAGACTTATGACTGCAGATTTGTCTTAACATTTCATTGTATGTCTTAAAAACGGCACCCCACAAAGTCCACCCTAACATCTTTTTTGATTTAAACATAAGAGTACCTCATCCCAGGATTTCTGATTACTGAACATGTGAATCATGTTTTAAGATTTATATTAATTTGTTTTCTCATGGTAGATACACTGAGCACAATGGCTGCTTTTAATATAATTCAACTAGCTGAGAAAAACAGTTAAAAAAATGAAAATGTTCATGTGTTTCCTGAAAGAAACTCAGGGATTAAGGACTTTGATAAAGATCATCTTAACTAAAGTAAGTTTTTTTTTTTTTTCAGGGGTATGTTACAGTAAAATCTTCAGAAACACTGGGAACATATGGCAGTATACACAGTGCACAATATACAGACAATATTAAATATAATCATGGAAAAGGTGCTGAAAATGATAGGAATGTCATTGCAACAATAGAAGTAGACACGCTTATCAAAAATATTGGCATTTTCATCAGCAGGAGTTGAGCTACAGAACAGACATATAAAAATGGATTACAGTTGGTGAAAGTGCTTTACAGTTGTACTCCTGTACCGGAGCACTGCTCCCATAATGCAGTTCAGAGGGCTGAACGAAAGTCGGACAAGGTTGCAGCTGGAACAGGAAGTGAAGAATATTAGAGGTGAGCTGGGACTGTCTGCAGAGCGTCATCAGTGGTGCGCTGCACTTTCACATTCTGAAACAGCAATGAGAGAGAAGGACTGAGTTACAATCCTACATTACTTATGACATTTACATATTGATTTGAATTCATTGAATACTCCCTTGACATAGTAACATGACTGATACAATTAACTTAATGAAGTCAGAATATATGCTTTCATCTGGTATTTCTAGGATATATGAATCGAACTTGTGGGTATTGTCACAGAGGGTATAAAATTAATTATTTTGCTATAAGATAATATTTTTTAAATGTAGATTTACATTGCCACAGAACCATCTAAAGTACGCTTGGGAGCAGTGGTGTAGTGCAGGGTATACAGACCTCTTTTTCTGGCAGTTTACAGTATACCCACCCATGAGCCAAACAGCCACTGGAATATATAGGAGAGAATACGCACGTTCTCCTCGGTAACCCACCCATCTACCTAGAAGTACACCTCATCAACAACCACTACACCACCGTTTAGGAGGAAATACAGAAGTCAGCATTTTACTGTAGATTACTATTCATACATTACTTCCTGCTTTACTGAGACAAATCATTCAATGTCTACTCAAACCCCAACTGACATATAGAGGACTGTACTGTTAGACACATTATAGTCATTATCTGAGAGACAAAATAACCGATTGTTAATGTATTCACCAAAAAAAAGTAACAAGAGAAAGAATGAATTTTTTTTTCCAATTTGGATTTTTATATTTACAATGACCTTCACAAACACAAAAAATCTGAAAAAAGTTACACTTGATGAAATGATTTAAGCATGTGTGCTCTCCAGCTACCAGTTAACACTATTAGTGATCATATTATAGCAAACATCTTGATTCAAGTGGACGTTTGTTGGGCATTGCAGATTAAGCCTTAACATTTAAGCAGTAAACAAGAGTTAATATAAAGATAAAAAAATAAAATAAAAAAAAAACTATTACTAGAATGAAAATTACATTTTGATTCAATTCATATGCAGAAACATGTATGTTGAGGTTACATGTATTTGTCACTTGCATACATTAAGTATAAAAAAAACAGACTTTACGATAATATAATCGGAGTAACATTCACCCAATGTTAAATTCTACAAGGTATTTTTGTCCTTTTCCACACACACACACACACACACACACACACACACACACACACACACACACACACACACACACACACACACGCACACACACGCACACACACTCTTGAAGGCCTATTCTCATTCTCTAGCCCGCTACCTTCAACTAAACCCAAACCTAATTCCAACCAAGTCGCAATCCTCAATCAGCCCTTTGAAGGTCCAGCTCAAATGACCTAAAAAATGTCCTAACTCCAAAAGGTTTAAGTCAAATTGAACAAAAACGAATATAGATGCACAAGTACACACACACGCACGTGCACAATGATTTGTCCTGTCTCTGGATTACAGTTATGGAGTCCCTCCAAAGATGTGAAATGGAATGAAATGCAGTGGCCCTGAGACTTAAAAACACTGCAACTAGTCAAAACTGTAGACTGCGCATAAAGTATGGACGTAGTCTCAGTATCGTCACCCTTAAGGTTTCTGAGGAGCCACTCAAAGCGGGTAGCTCCGGCCTCTTGGCAGTGACGACACAACTCAACTCTAAAAAAGAGGAGGCGCTGAAGCAGCCCGGGTGACGCAGCAGAGCAGACAGCTACCTGTCATTTAAAGTGGCCACGCCCTCAATTATGCCTAACTTTAAGACGTAATATAAATTAAAAGGGTGAGTTATATAAATATTCACTCCATCTACAGTCGTCATGGACGTGACAAATAAGCCATAGAGACCAAAACCATTTTTTGTACCAAGCAGTAAACATGTTTATTTCTGCTCTAAAGTTTGGCATTTTAACATTCAGGTCTGCAGAGATTGACTCACTTTTGGAGCCGACCTCAAGTGGTCAAGTGAGGAACTGCAGTTTTAGGCACTTCCCTGTTGGCTTCATTCCCTGGCACATTGTGATTGCATGATGTTATTTTAGAGATCTGCTGTTAATCTAGCGTCAGCCTTTCACTGATTACCAGTTTACCAATTCAATTCGGAAACATTCAAAGAGAATGTTAAAATAAGAAACAAAAAAAGTGAATATAACTAAAAAATAATAAAAAAAAAAAAAAACCTTATGTCCATTGTGTTCTGTGTTATAATCTACGTGTTTCTATATTTGGTCGTGTTTTCTTACTTTGCTAAATGTTGTCTCTAAGTTGCAGTGTGTTGAGCTCTCAGGGCCGATACTTGAGAATACTTGAGAGATAAAAAAATAAAAAATCTGCTCCGACCTAAAAGGTAAATGCTGACAGGACAGTGTCAACGGTAAGTCACAGCTGTCTTGATTGTGGTCAGAGATCACTGGTGGACGGAGCCTGAACACGGTTTCCTTTGTGTGAAGGATTTACATTCTCTGTGCAATAAGGAGAGAGGGACGGATCAGCACTGAGTGCTAGGAGGGACATACACACTAAATACAATGCAACACAAACAATGTGTCTCTCTAGAAATCATTGACGAAAGTCAACACACAGCTTTCACAGTTTAACGATTCTCCCGAATCCAATGGAGTCCCCGGTCCCAGATGAACTGGAGGAAAACGCAGTGAGGTGAATCACCCCTGAAGTGGATTGACGATCTACGTCGTCTGCTGAGAGACATTTCTGTGTGCTGCCTGGGATACCTACCTCTGGTCTGTCTCTGTGTGTGTTCACAGAGTCCACGCCTAAACAGACAGACTCCACTTTGCATCCTGAGAAAGAGCAAACAAAGCAAAGATTACTTAGAGTTAGACCAAGTGGAGACGATTTGGCAAATGATTCAGGCAAAATGAGGCTACAAAAAACATTGATGCCTTTTTGGATCAGTTTGGAAGAATAATAATAGTCAATACTATATATAAATTATATATATATATATAAATGACAGAACTCACCGTAAGCCACAGGGGTTAACTTCAATACCGTGTGCAAAGGGCACTTAAGATAAGGCAACTCCTCTGTGGAAACAGAGATAGAAAGTTATGCAACATGCTGGAAGTTTCAGGGTCACGGTGTACTGCATATTTTCTTTAAAGTTTTTTTATGTCTTTTCCATAAGTCATGTTGGTTACAGCCTTGGCCGGAGGCATTATGTTTACAGGTTGTCTGTACATGTGAACAGTGCGTCTGTCCATCCGTCCCATTCTCATAATCGTGATAACTTAGGAATTTCTTCAAATGTGGCGCAAACGTCCACCTGGACTCATAAATTAACCGATTAGAATTTGGTGGTCAGAGGTCACTGGGACCTCACAGAACACATTTTTGGCCATAACTCCAGAATTCATATGCTAGTTATAACAATTTCACACACGTCATATAGAATAAAATGATGACGCGATGACATTTTGGACACTGTAAACTGACACTAGACTGGTTGACAGAGGCATACAACCGCAAGGCGATAATTCTAGTTTAAAATCATGAATCAGCAAATAATCTGAAAATTATACACTACAATTTTGTTCACATTGCCTACTGCAAAGACCTTCATACCTGCAGTCTTGTCCAGGAAATATGCAAGAAGACAACGCATGACGGCCTGGTGACAAACAACCAGAACATTTTCCTGTCTCTCCAACTCCATCATCACTGGCTCGAGCCGCTGCACCAGGTCTTCATAAGACTGACGGAGAATCACAGAACGATCAGAAACACACAGTTTACAGGAAACAAACACATTTATTCACCTCTAAATAATAGATGCGAGACATTTGGAAGAGTCCCATTCTCACCTCTCCTTTAGGATAGCGGTAGCGGTACTTGTCTTGGTCTCTCAGTGCAAACTCCAGAGGGTAATTCTCTTGAATCTCTTCGTACATCATTTCCTCACACACACCCTTTGAAAAGAGGGGGGAGTGTGTGCTTAGCTTGAGTAAACACATGCTTAAGAAAAAGGCTGTTATTAATTATTTATTTTGCTGAATACAGGAATCAACATACAGCATTGATTTCGTTGAGGGACTTCCACTGTTCGTATGGAACTCCCAGGCTCTCCGCTGTCTGGATGGTCCTCTTCATCTGGCTGGTCCACACTTTTAGATCGTTGATGTTCTGGTCCTGGATAAATTTCCTCAGACTTTTGGCATACTAGAATGCAAGAAAACAAAATCCATCTTCATAAACAGACGTTATATAATATGAACGGTTTGTCATGTCCTGCTAGGTACAATGACCGCTGCGAAGAAGCGCAAAGTTGACAGCGAGAACCGCCACATTTTTAGAAGCAGTGGGAAGCTGATCGCTTTTTCACTGAAAGCCGAAACAGTTGCGTTCGTCTATGCTCAGATACCGTCGCTGTTATGAAAGAGTTTTTAATGTGAAGAGACATTACGGGACAAAGCATAATTCATACCAGTGGTTGTTCTGTAGCTGACTCCTGGCTATGTTCCTGTTATCTAATTTGGCAATATAGAATACACTGGACATAGATATTATATATCTTTTTTACACTTCTATAGTCTTAGTTACATGAAAGTGCAACACAAAAGAAAATTTTTAGAAAGATATTTGTCATGTATTAATGTGCAGATTCTCAGAGTTATAGATTTGGTAAGTTGTATCCAGAGGTGGATTCCACCGGCCAGAGGTGTCATGGTGTCCCTGCTACCCGATATCACATGTTTTCTTCTGTCAGTCGAACATGCCCATGAACCCTATAACGGCGGTCTCTGGACCAAGGGGATGTCCCTTTCAAACAGCAAATCACACTCGAGCAATTGCTTCCCTCTGGGCCCGTCGTCTAAGTGGAAGGACAGGACTCCACCGTCACATGCTCGTTGGGTCAAGGATGTAACGGGACACTGAAAACTAGGCAAGTTGAGGTATCGTGACTAAAGCTCGAGGGATAAATACCACAAGGCGTGGCAGTCTTTCCTGGAATATTTTTAACAAACTCCGCTGTGCCAGTCTGACTGAATAAGCCCTCCGTGCCCTTTCCCCCCTGTTCCCTTCTCCATTTCCCTTTTATTTCATTTGTTTATTTGTATTTAGTTTAGTTTATTTATTTTATTTTATTTATTTAGATATACTTATTTATTCATTCTGTATTGTACTTGCTGCTGTTTTTATGGGTGTTATTGGTTTATACTTCTTACTTTGCATGTTTGTATCTCTTTGTCACTGAATGTTCTTGTAGACGTGGTCTATCTGTTCAAATAAAGAGTGTTGAAATACAAGATAGTATTCATTGGACTATTAGGCTTTTATGAAAAAATGTCATAATTTAAATTGTGGCATGGAGAATTATTGTTGCTTTAGACTACATAAAAACTCACACATGACTTTAATACAGAATCAGCGCACACACACACACAAACACACACCTCTCTTCCTCTGGGGGATAAGCCAGAGTCTCCTCCAATCCGTCCCTTGATGTTGAGGTCGCTCTCCCCGTGGCGACACAGGTAGATGGAGCGCGGCGTGATGTGGATGTTCATCAGGTAGTAGACGATCCGGCTTTGGATGTGGTCAAGGACGCGGTTCACCAGGTAACGGCAGCCCACGTCAATAATCTTTATGTAAGACAGTTCCCTGGAGCATGAGAGTCAGTCAACCACTAGCCATCTTGATGAGGTACTGTAATCTAGTCCAAGTCATTTTGTGTTTCCTCACCTGTCCAGAACCTCGTCCAGAGGCTGATAGGAGGACTCGTAACACTTGATCCTCTTCATGAAGTCCTCAATGGCCTCCTCTGTGTTGCAGTGAATGTAGTCTGGACTGCCCAACTTAACTTGCTACAAAAGGTAGAACCGGAGGGAGAGGATGTGAGCAGAGAAGAGAGGAAGTTGTCTGCCTGACACTGTTATCAGCCTGTTTCCACTGAGCTTGTTTGTCTACACTTTAACTCTGAGAAAGCCTTCATATGAACATATTTTAAGGTAAACTGCTCTTGGATTTGGACTTAAATGCAAGCGTGAAAATGCAGTTTGCAATGTCACGCTATCCTTTGTAAGGAAGAGTGATTTTTGTCTCTTTAAAAAAAAGAAAATACAGTACATGGTCTGCTTATTGTATTTTCTATTATCTATACTGGATAGAACAAAAAGAGAAAAGGCTTACCACTATATTTTCTGCAATGACATCTGGGTCCTCACACACAGACTCCACAAAAAATACCTGCAGTGACAAGACAATCGAGTAAACTTAGAGGCCATCAAGTCAAAGTGACGTAAACTAAATGACACCTTGCCTCGGTTAACATACCTTGAACCCATTCTGCTCAGCGAACTTGACAATAGTGCCTCTTCTTTCTCTCGTTGTATTTGTGGCATCAAACACCTGAAAAAGCAGGAAAAACACTTCTTCAGCTGTGATGTACAGTTTGTTTTGATATTGTGATAATTTTGCCGTGGAGAACTGAGGGACAACATCAAGGACTCACCGCCACCTGTCCTCCTTCGACACTCAGGTACTGCCGGACATCATTGAGTGCTGCCAACGCACACTGACTGCAGAAGGACAGCAGACACAGAGTCATACGGTGCAAAGACTTCAAACGCTTGTGACCCAACTACATCGACTGCTGAATTTTCATTCAGGCAGGCAGACTGTAAACCTGTCAACCTCAAATATCTACCATTAAATGGTGTTTCTTTGGTAGAAATTTGTGACGTACAAAACAATAGGAGACATCCTGGAACTAGAAATGGTTTACAGGTCCTAAAATGGCTATGCCATCAAATCAAGGAGAAGCTCTGACAACAACAACAACAACAACAAACACACACACACACACACACACACAGAGGGGGAGCGACTTCATTCTCCGGTCAGGTACACAATACTCCTCTACATCTTTTCATAGATAATAGTCGTTTGCTGGTTACTCTGAATTAGAGGGAACCAACAGTCTGCAGGTTTTCATTCCATCCAATTACCTGAAAACCTGCAGACTGTTGGCTCGTCATTGCTTTTGGTTGGCCAATCAGTGAAGACTTACCGTCGGATTTTTAACCCTTCTTCATTATCTGGACGGAAGAACTCAAAGGACTTGTAGATCTTCAGACACTCCCTCCGGTACTGGCCAACATTGAACTCTGTTACAGGTGAAAATATGATGTATTTTTAAAAAGATTATAGCTGGTTTCTACTTTAAGGTAATATGTACATATTATGTATTACATATTATATATGTGTGTATGTGTTAAGGGTGTAGCTGGTACCTTTGGTTGGAACACCAATCCAGTTTAAATAGCGAGTGAGCTTCTTTGAAATGTAAGTCTTCCCTCGAGCTGGAAGTCCAACAGTCACAATGAGGGTCGGGCAGTTTGTCATACACACTGTGAGAGAGGGAGGAAGAGAAACACACCTTTAATGGATTTAACTCACTTCTCACACATTTAACTGGCTGAGCATAGCTCGTCGACATTATTCCATTCAACAAGAGTTTAATTAGTCTTTAAGATTCCTCATAATTAAACTATATAGTCCTCTCCTGCGACCCATCAGTGGGTCCTGATCCCGTCTTTGGGAATGACTGATCTAAACCATGAGACAACTGATCAGCATTTTGAATTTATTCACTATCAGGGCTGGAAACTAGCTCTTAAGGAGAGTAAGAAAAGGTGAAGGGATGACACATAAACAAACGACTGAAAACAAGGATGATACAAGGATGTACATGTGGACAGCAGAGGGTGAGGTCTCCAATTTGTCAACCCTCACGTACTTCTTTAAAAGCTGGCCGGAGGAACACGCTGGTTAATTAGGGACAGCCCCACGCCGCAGACCACGATCCGGTTGAAAAGCACGCTGTAGCCTACAGGGCGCTAACGTTTTGTGAAATGTGGATGCTGTATCTCAGGATGTACACATTAAATCTCTTATCTATTTTTTTTTTTTTTTTTTTATTCTTACAAAAATTAAAAATCTCTTTCTGGGTTTATTTAACTATTATTAAAGAATGTCACACAGAAGCAATCCCAGTATTTTAGATTCTGCAGACACTTTTTTTTCCTCCAAATTTCCTTTGATTGTTAATTTCTTACTTTTAGTTTTTTTGATTACAACTCACATTTTTAGGGTTGCCCCCTCTTAGTTGATTAGTCACCCAAACAGTCGTTTATGTCTTGGCCGCATAAGATTTATTTGATCAATTAGTACTTTTTTCATGCTGATTGATTTCGTTTTGAGAAATGTAAACAACATATTTAAAGTGGTGCTTTTGTGTGATTCTTTGTGGAGAAACTCAGTTTTACTCGGTTGAGGACAGACATAATAAACTGCTCCTGATGTGTAACGCTTGTTTCAAAAGAAACGGCAATGAAGAACGCAGAGCTTGACTCAGCAAAAACCAGCCGACATGCAGAGAGTGCGAACCAGACAGCTGCTCAGCCTCACATCCACGTCGGTCAACACCCATCATACATGTTGTCTGTGGGGTGATCTTGGGGGTAAATTGATGCAGCGAGCTTGCAATAAGCGTGATTATAATGTCTCCATGCATATTCGAAACCAGACCAGCTGATGCAACACTGCCAAGCAGCACAAAAAGGCAATAATATGCATTACTTTATTTGTGCGCAACGTCTAAAACAACCGCGCGTAAATGTCACAAAAGGTAATATCTTTAAGTTCAAAGACAGACTGCACTTGAATCAGGAAACATTAATAACGTAAAATATGATTTAAAATAGGATAGCTTTAGCAGATGCACATTGACTCCCAGTCGCATCCTTTGCGGCTCTGGCCGGCCGGCTGCATCTTACCCCGTCTCTGAGCTATATGCCCGTTCTTGCACGGCATCCAGATCTTCTTGAGCGGGTTCTGGGTGAGCTCCCGCGGAGACGTGTCTAACATGAACTCTTCGTTGTCTAACATCCTGGATGTTGTATCACTGATGTTACCCTGCGTATGTGAAACTGAGGCGGTGGGCTGGCAGTCTGATTCATCCGACTGCGGGGGGGGGGGGGGATTACCGTAATGACTGGAGACTGAGCGCAACACAGAGTGAGGGAGTAAAACAAAGCCAGGTACAGGATGTGACTTTGCTTAAACAGCATTTCAGTGGTGTTATTTTAACCTCAGCTAACTGCCTCAATTGCACTAATATGCAGTAATATTTTAAGAAGACAGTAATAACGTATTTACTCAAAAGACAGAGAGATATATAGTTTGACAAAATAATCCTAACTTAAGTATACTTTTCAGAGCTAGAAATATAATGGAAATTCGATCAATACAACGCTCAATTCACAAATAAAGGTTATTTAATTTGTCAATCATATCAATCAAACAAATGTACTCTCATTAATTGAGAAATACATTGTTGGGGCATTGATTTATTGTTTTCCTTTATATTTTACTGAACTTTCTGTGGGGTAAATGCAACAAATACAAATCCTTGAATCCTTTTCATATATTAATAATAATAATAATAATAATAATAATAATAATAAATTTTATTTATATAGCGCTTTTCATAAAACTCAAAGACACTTTACATTAAAATCATCATATATAAAAGCAATACACTAAAAACATAAAATACACAATAGTGGTCACACATTAAAAGCAGTTTTGAACAGGTGGGTTTTGATTTGGGATTTGAATGTGCAAAGTTCAGTGCAGTCTCGGATGTGTTTTGGGGAGAGAGCCCCAGAGGGAGGGGGCAGATATGGAGAAGGCTCTGTCACCCCATGTCCGGTGCTTGGTCCTGAGTGGAAGGGACAGGAGGTTGGCATTAGAGGAGCGGAGCCGACGGGATGGAGTGTGGTGGTGAAGCAGGTCGGTGAGGTAGGAGGGGGCCTGATTGTGGAGGGCTTTATGAGTGAGGAGAAGGATTTTGTATTGGATCCGTTGTCGGATGGGGAGCCAGTGGAGGTTCTGGAGAACAGGGGTGATGTGGTCACGGGAGCGGGTGTGGGTGAGCAGGCGAGCAGCAGAGTTTTGTGTTTACTGGAGTTTATTTAGGATTTTGGATGATGTGCCGTGGAGAATGCTGTTGCAGTAGTCAATTCTTGAGGTGATGAAGGCGTGGATCAGAGTTTCAGCAGCAGATGAGGAGAGTGATGGGCGGAGACGGGCTATGTTTTTTAAGTGGAAAAAGGCAGTTCTGGTGATTTGTTTGACGTGGTGTTCAAAGGAGAGGTTGCTGTCGAACATGACTCCAAGGTTGCGGATGTGTGGGGAGGGAGACAGAGTGGAGTTGTCGATGGTGAGGCAGAAGTTGTGACTGGTTTTGGTGAGGGATGTGGGACCGATGATGATCATGTCAGATTTATCACAGTTCAGTTTGAGCAAGTTGGTTTGCATCCATGATTTAATGTCAGTGAGGCAGCTGGTGAGAGTGGAGTGAGTAGCAGTGGTAATGGCCTTTGTGGAGATGTAGAGCTGGACATCATCGGCGTAGCAGTGAAATTGAAGACCATGTTGACGGATGATGTTACCAAGAGGGAGCAAGTACAGGATGAACAGAAGAGGACCAAGCACAGACCATAACAAAACATCCCAACAGCTCACTTATTTCTAGGAAAACCTTTTCAAAGAAATCACCGTAATGACGGTAACAAGTGAGCAAGAGAAGCGGAAAAGAGCAGCTGATAGAAAAACAAAGCCTTCAGATGCGCACATGCTGCACACATGGGCAGTGAATGCTGCTGAGAAATGAACCAATCAGAGGAGACATGAGAGGTCCAGCAGCCAATAGGAGAGGCGGGTCCGGGATGGGGGGGTGCGTGCAGACTGCTTGGAGTTGTGAGCTCACATAAACACCATCACGAAAACTGTCGTGGCCACAAGAATTACACGCGGCCCGGTCACGAGGCCCACATATCACACAGCGTTCTTATGGCACAAGTCAATAACAATTTGAACATTATATAACGCACATGTATGCCAACCAAGGATTTAAATCAGCTGCTGTTAGCTTGTTCTTCTTATTCATCTCCTCATTTATTTTGATCTATTATGTAATTCAAAACATTTTCAATTTAGGGCTGCAGCTAACAAGTCCTTTCAATTAATCTGCTTTTTATTTTCCTGATTATACTGTATTTTAAGAAAAATAAAAAAAAATGTTTTTGTTTATACAGTATCATCTTCTTTATTTGAGTATTTACAACAGACCCCTGTACATACGTAGAATGTGAACCACTAAACATGCAAAAGGCATCTTCTGATAATGCATTAATATTACAGTTTTACATTCATAAAAGTGTTTTACATTGAGCACATCATTGTGGAATTGGTTATTGGAAATGTTTAATCACGTGTGTGTCATTTGAACACAATGTCCCATTTTTAGAAGACATAGTATTGTTTTGAATTTTTATGTTTTATTGTTTCATTTTTGGGATCAGTTGAGTTTTACCTTTTGTGTGTCTGTTGACTTTGTTTTCGTAGAATTCTGAGAACATAAGGTTCGTTTTTAGAAAATGTCTGTAAACAAATGAGAACAACTTGAATACAGTAGGTCGTTCTTAGCCCAATGAATCTTAATGTAATGTCGCAGTTGTAACACCAGGTGGCGCTGTGCACTTACTTTTAAAGCCAGTAGTTTGGACTGCAGCAAAGTAAATGAAATGAATGAACATCTAGTCGAAAGATGGATCTTATTAACTCAGCATCTACTGTGACAGTCAACACATCCAGAGGTCAGAGGGCACCGCCGTCAGGGAAAGTCAGCATGTCAGCAGGACTAATCCCATCAGCAAGACACACACACAGACACACACACACACACACACACACACTGAAATGTAACAACTCACTGCTGCATAACGCAGATCTTTTATAGCCGATGCAGAGTTAAACTTCCTTTTGCATGAAGTGTTTACACTCTCTTGTTGAGATCCTGCGTTAACTAAGCAGCCTAAAAGATGCATTGCTGTTTCCTTTAGTTCATTTTATGTTGCGTTTGTTAATTAGAAAACCTAATGTTGAGTCGATGATCTAATAGCGATTAGTCTAAAGCACATCCAGTTTAGTTTTAAAAGATCAGGACTGTTTTTATTCAAGGCCAACATTACACCAACATATGATTGATCTTTGAGTAAAGATGTCACTCTTGAGTCACTCTTGGGAAGACTGTCTACAAGCTTTTGTAACCTGACTGCAGTGATTTTCCAGATACTGACGTTGGGCAATGAGGCCTGGCTGACAGCATTTGACCTCACCCTAAAGGCGAGTTCAGTGCTCTGTGCAGACAATTCAACGTCCTCTACACACCAAAACTAGAAAAACATTCATGTAGGACCTAGTTTGGTTTTGGCAACAGTTTGGGGCAGAAATTACTTCCTTTTTCAGATGACAGTGCCAATGTACACAAAAAAGACAGCACACTATTGCCTAAAATATCATTAAATACTGTACCATTTGTATGTCCCATTAACTAGAACTAAGGGCTGTAGCACTAACCACGAACAACAAACTGAGTAAAAGTATGTGGACAGGGGCGTTGACACTGACATCTTAAAAAAGAATGTTTTGCTCAATCAACAGTCCAGAACACAAAGATATTCATTTTTACACTTTTATCACTCAAAAAAACAGCCATACTGGAGAAGCTGCATACAGAGAATCTTTAGCATTTTTGCTTTAACGATTGCTTGATTATTAAATATGTTCATATATATATATATATATTCATATGATATATTAATTCTGTGTTGATCAACTATGAATCGGTCTATAGATCCCTTTTGTGCTGCTTGCGACAGAGGATGACAAAAGAGGTGGTTTCATATGAGCCTGAACAAGCAATATTAATTTCTCAACTGTGCAGAAATGTTGCTACCTTTGCAAGCATAAACATACAGAAATAACACAAACAACCCTGCACTTAAAAGCTCCCAGATGCGAAACATCAGCAAGATCAGTGCACTGAGCAGGCGTACAATGACTGCATAGGCATTACACACACGTAGGCTACAGCAGCTCTGCCTGAAGCCTATAATGAGATTCTGAGCGAGCGGGTGAACTTTCCCCCAGATAGAGAGCAGATACAGGGAGGGAGGGAGGTGCAGTGAGCCAGCCACCAATACCATGAACAAGGATGAGAGGAAGTGATGTTTTTGTGATTATTCAGAGAAGGGATCTGGCAAAAATAAAGACAGAGAAAATAAGGATTACGGGGTATAATCAAGAAGATAACAATGGAGGGTGGGAGAAGGTAGATTTACTGCAGCTGGCAGCATCATGTGCGGTGCACAGCCATGGAGAAGTGCACGTAGGGATATTATTGGTGTTGGGTCTGCTGCACCCACTGAAGCATATTTCTCTCCGTCGGCAGTGATAAACACATAAGGGCTCAGTGGGTACTAGAGACAAAGCTAACTCAATGCTTCCACAGCCTCATAACATGATATTTACATCACTGTTAACTGCAGGGGCAGCTTAATACAATATACAATATACACTGAGTAGCTAAAGTACAAAGTAGCCATCTGTAAACATCCACAAATACACACACGCACCGGGATGTTTTTCTTGTTTTTCTGCTTGGCCCCACCTCTCTGTGTGTTGTCATGCAGACAACTCACCAACACAGCCTGAGCTCTGTTCATCCCTCACACATCTGCCACAACATTTAAAACCGCTGTGACCATATTCGCACAAGGGACAGCGATGAATCCGTCCCTCGAGAAACAAAGTCTATCAGAGACTTGGTACAGTTCGTCCTCTCTTCGGGGCGTTCATCAAGACGACAGCACAGTGACACAATGTCAAACAGGCCCAGGCTTCAAGACAAATAGAGTTACGTAATAATAACATATTCTTATAATAACTGAGTCACCGGATTATATAGGCCATAGTATTAGCATTGGTTCAGATGGCATTTGTAGCATGTGAGGTGGTCATCGAGGAACCTCGATAAGAGACAAAGTGTAGTAGGCTGGGATCGACAGCATGCAAAAGTGAACACACAGAAGTTCAAGCTGAAATGTTTAGAGCAACATTGAGGTACATTCAGCACACATTAGACAAAGATGTTGGACCCAAATGAACACTGAAATCTCTTCACCCTCTGTCCCATTCGCAGGCTATCAATGCAATCTTTGTGATACACACATTTAGTTGCAGCAAGAATAACTATATCAACAGTAAAAGACATTTAAAAGCAAGTCCACAATATCCTTTGAAAACAAAGCTGACTGCCTGCAGGTCAGGGTATGCAGAGATGACCTTCTGACCATAGGTTTACCCTCTGGTCCTCCCACACAGTATGTGTAGTATTACCTTTGCATCGTCTGAGCAGACCTGCAGCAATAACTAACTCTAGACACTTCTCGAACATTCTCGAGTACCAACTTAACCTCTCAGATCTGTTTGGGGCTCTTTGACGCAGCATCATACCGTAATAAGTGATGTTTGGAGAGCTTTTCGACAACAACGTCGTGTTTACATCCTCTCATAAACAGTCAGTCCACCAGTTACGTTAGCTTACAGGCTAGCTAACCAGCTGCTGCAGCCAGGCTTTAACAGCAGATAGGAAGTCGACCAAAGCATCCTTGTCATATGCAATCTATTTCTTCGTTACGTGAAAGCTGAAATACCCAGTCCTTCCCAAATGTCACGACTGCGTAGCCTGTCCCACTTCTCCTCGGTAGCAGACCCTGTTCGCTCTGGAGCATGCCTACGTGACACATACTTGTTTACTTCCTCCGCTTGCTAGTCCAGCTGCTCTGTAGCGCTCACTGCACACAAAACCAGTGTCCAAAAATATACATGTATAAGAAAAAGAGAAAAGTGAGGACTCGGGAGGAGTTTGCACCCTACCTGCTCTGTCCCGAGGGTTTCTCGGGCGGAAAGAGCCCCTCATGGTCTCGGTTTAATGCCTCTTCCCAGCGTGGTGTGCACTGCGAGTCCCTACAGCAGCACAGGCAGCAATGAATGAAGTGAGTGAGCTCTGCGAGAGGCGCGCGCTCATTATCGCGTCCATAAGCACGCGCGCACAAGCACGTCGATTTGTTATTGTTCAGCTGTGGTCATGGTGGAACCCCATCTTTACCTCTACCCCTGTTTACATTATGTTTTAAGCCCCTTTATGTGTATGAGCCATAATTAGTCTCATACATACCAGTGCAAACAACTGGCCAAGACCACAAATGTGCCCCAGGTTGGGTTTTGGTCATTTTATTTATTGTAAATTTGTTAGAGAATTTGCACCACCTAAGTACAACAGCAACCAAGATGGGTCCTGCAGTAAAAAAAAACAATCTTCAGGTCCTGTCTTGTTGGCAGATAATGTGTAAAAATGTAGATATGATTTATTGATTCAGTTTATATTGTGCTCAGATTTTTAAATGACTAAATAGTCTTTTCAAATGTTTTTGTATTTGCCTGTTCGTCGCCCCATAAGGGAAGAACAGGAATAACTTGAACAGTATCTGTACAGCACAGATCTGTCCAACATTATTAGAGTGAAACAGTTAGATTTGAGCTCCTTTTGTGACCAATGAATATTTAAGGAATCAATGAGCATGCTGTATTAAACCTCTACAGGAACAAATCTTAGCCATTTAATAATTTAATCCATTACTGGCTTCAGGATATCTTTACCTCCCAGTGAAAATAATCTATACATAGAGCTTTTAAAGCATGGCTTTATTAGTTTATGAGTATTTAGATATTTCTGCATGGTATTGTTATTTAGTTGATAATTGGTTGTTCTTTTAACCAACTCCACATCTGGTTTTTAATCTTGTAGTCTTTGTTTTAGCTTTGTGATTCACAGTATTTTGTGATTAATTTATTTCTTGTGTGTTTGTTGACCTATGGTGGCTATTATATATATATCAACTGGCCACCTACACACACACACACATATATGTATAAAGGTGTAATTAGTGGAATTGAGTAAATAAAGTTTTCTACAAATAAACTGACACAAACAAAACCTGACAACATGTGGTGTTATTATAGCATATGATGTATAACAGCTATAACAGGTTAATCCGGCCATGGCCTTGTGTAAGTGACAAAAAGCAGCATCTCAGCTATATCACACAGTTTTTTAATGAATGCATCGTACATAGCAAAGTTGAAACCAAAGTTTCTTTAAAGGTGCCCGTCACTGTTAGGGTCCAGCTTCATATGACTTCCACCTGTACCCATCTGGAGCTGCTGCTTTTGTCTGAACACTTCTCTCATTGCAGTCAGAATACGGTCACCTCTTTCTGGAGTCCACCTGACATTGCAAACAAAAGTTAAGATCATTCAGACCACACATTTCACATATTCAAATTTACAGAACTGTAATGGCATTTGTCCTGGTCCTCTTACAGGTTGGAAACTTCCACTCCTTCTGATTCTCTCTGGGAGAACTGGAGCAGGCATAGAAGGTGGAGGAGGAATCTGAAAAGGACTCGGACTCTGGTGTTGTGGATCTGTGTACTGTGGTGTATGCTGGGAGGTGTTGCTGCCTTTGATGGGGGGAACCGGTGGCAAAGGTCCTTTCTTCAGAGCAAGGGAGATGGATGCCCCTGCAGCTCTCGGCAATGTCTGTGATACTGGGCCTGTCAAAAATGCAAAAGCACTCAAAAGATCCAGTATTACTTTTAAATGTATGCTTTTAAAGTATAAAAAACAACAATTTTTACACTCCACAACAATTTTCAAGATAAAGTACCTCTGTTCCTCTGCTCTTTCTGCACAGCCTTTGGTCTGTCAAATTGGTTGAGGATGAAGTCACCAGCTTCAGCAATGTCTTCATCTCTCAGGTCATTCTCATTGAATCTTGAATGAATCAACAGCCTCCTCATAGCAGCATCAGGAACCTTAGACATCTCCAAGCAGATAATGGACTGATTTAACATGTTTCCACACGGACTAATTCTAACTTTGAGGGTGTCACGATGTGTGATTCTATTCATGTAGGCTATTTGCATTTCACTGTATAATTTGACTTACTGAACTGGTGGTTGGTGTAACTGTTGTGGATGGTGAAAAGGGGAAATGTTGCTCTTTGTCCAAATGGTGAAGTGGCTTCATTCTACAGAAAAAAGTAAACCACACTTTAAACCTCTGCTCTCTTCTATTTTTTACGTCAATGGAGTTGTAACATTTTTGTCACCCTGAATCAGGTGGATCACTTGTCGACTTGTTTTCGTTCTCAGAATTTGTTATTCCTCTCATTGTGATCATCATTTCTGTGAAACAGAAGTAATGGAATTACAGGAAACAAGAGCAATTCAAATAAAAGAGCGAACACACCTTTGAAATGTGTTGATATGAGTCATCGATTTGTTGTTATTCTAACCTTGGTTCCTTTGAACAGCCTCCACCGCCAGATGAAACGCCTCTGCCTCAGTCTCTTCCGCAAAGTTAAGGCCTACCTGGTGGCTCTATGCAAACACAGTAATTCCACCTTAAATCAACTCACGCTAATTCTCTGACCAGCACGCTGCATACATACACTAATACTTTAAAACAGGATTGCTTACATCTGCAGGGAAAGTATGGAAGAATGCGCGAGTTGCAGTGTACTTGAATGGAATGTACAGCTCCTGCTCCCACAGTAACGTGGCACGCTGTGTTCAAGGAAAGATAAAAGGAAAGGTTATTATATTATAGTCGTTACAGAAGGAAAAGTACAGGCACCTAAGAAAATTGTTACGAAAGGAAACTGCAAATCAAAGGAAACTATAGCTGTCCCATACATGCAACTACTTCTACACACAAAATGGAAGCTAACATGTCATTTCATTGAGGAAACCAGGTGTTAGTAGAGTAGGTGAAGCATCTCTAATCAGTTCTGCAGTTCCTCTTACCTTGACACAGTACAGACGCAGAAAGTGGGAGTGAATGGACTTATCCTCAATGAGACACACCGCGCCACAACCCAAACAACTCCAGCCTGGACTCCTACCCTGGGTATCTTCGGCCACTAGTATCTGTGCTACTGTAGTTTTGATCAGCTGAAATACACCAGTAGTCATACAGATCTCTAAAATGGAAGAGACTTCAGATCACTTCATCCTATTACCAAAGCAGACTAAAAGGGTTACACTTTGCTGAGATGTTTTACAGCCTCTTCTCTGCTGGTGAATACTTTCAATTCCCAAAAGCGTTCTTGATTAGGTATATGGTTCAGTCAGTGTTTGTGCATCTTCCCTATTTTGCTCTTAGCTTCAACCCTTCATTTCGAAAGTTTGCACAATCCCGCCACCAAACTGCTTTCTTAATGTATGAGAATTTTTTATTTTTTTAACCAACTCATATCATTTCTGACTCAGAGTAACCTTTGAGATATTCTGGTTTAATTTGTCACATACCAGAGAGGCAGCTCCTCAGAGAGATTGTGACCTCTTTTTAGAGGCTGATGATGCTGGGAAATGATCCATTTAACTTCCCATTATATTACAGCCCTGACATTAACTCATTCACTCATTCAGGTCCTACCATCCCCATGGGTGCAATGGTAAATCATCATCATCATCCATAGTACACCAAACCTGTTGGGTCACGGGATTAGAGTCTCTTCTTTTCTCTATTGATGATACACTTAGTCACTTTTGATCTAATGTTCCCTCTTATGCTAATGACACAGTTATGCCTGTCTATGAAACCAACCACAATCTCTCTTTTTTATTTAGGACTGTGTAAAGTAGTTGTTTCTTTCAGTGACAATCTTTTTATCTTGCATGTTCTCCCCGTGTCAGCGGGGTTTCTCTCCGGGTTCTTTTTTTTTTAAAGATGGCAGCTACCCTGAAGTTTCCTGATCATTTAGAAAATAAATCACATGACCTAAATCCTATGAAATCAAGTCATATGCACAGACTGTATATAAGTATGGTTGAACAAATTGACATTGCTTTTTACATTCCAAAATGACCATCTTATTGTAGTAGTGTCTGACCTAACTGTAACCAAACCCCCCTATTTTTTCTCTTTCTTTTTTTCAGTATTTACTTGTTTCTCTATTCAAGTGCTTTAAAAGGTGTACATTTCTACATCTTGCAGCACCTGCTCTGGTAACACAACATGGTAGCGCCAGGCTACACAAGCAGCAGATACTAACTGTAAACAAAACAGCCCTCATAGAAAGCCCATTCATCCAACAAGCTTCCTCTGATAAATGTTCGTGAAAACACGGAGGTGATACAGTAACATCCACATATACTTAGTCAATGAAATGTTACTTTTCAAATATTTTACATTCACAGCCCACAATCTCTTTCTGTGAGCAAAATTAAGTTTCATAAATACTTAAAATGGTAATTTATGGCAATGACAAGTATAGAACAGTCTCAAATGCTAATTCAATTTTTTACAAATACAGAAAAACCCTAAGTTACTCATTTTTATGTTGTATTTCAAGCATATTAATTTAAAGTGACAGTAATGAACTGACCTTACACTGAGGTTCGAGCAGAGTGAAGAGGAGACTTTTCTCACGGACAGTCAGGAGATCACTCATTACATTGCATCTAGGAAGCCGACTTGACGCCATCACAATTCCCTTGTTTTCACCTTCTACTCACCACTACTGTCACTACCGTGTCTTCTCATTTATTTCTGAACCCAGTACATTTAGTCCTGACTGTAACTGATTTGAATGGTAATATTTCCATCGCAGCTTGTCGTCATGCAAATGTATTTGACTTGCCGTACGTTGTGTACGCACTGTGGCTTTCCTTCCCTAACTGAACAACTCTATGCAGTCAATGTCAAGAGACATCTGTTGATAATATGTATTCAAGATGTATGACTAATGTAAGTTTTGATCACACAGCCTTCACCCGTCGCTGTTCTGTATGAAAGGATGAAACTCTGAAACATAAGCAACATAAGCAACATGATCAACATAATCTACAACCAACTGTGAAAAATAACCAAGTATTTACTCAAGTACTATACTTAAGTTCAGTTTTGAGGTACTTGTACTTGAATTGAGTATTTGCATTTTATGTTACCTTATACTTCTACTTTGCTATATTTCAGAAGGAAATATAGAGTTTATAAAATAGCATACAGTGTTATAGAAGAAACTTCCCAACAGCATATAAAGTAGTTATTATTAGCTCCACCCCAACCATCCAACATTAAAATGATGATTATTTATAATATATTGTGAATGATATACAATAATACAACACTGACAGGAGTCATTCTTCTACTCAATGAACACTTTTTCTTTTGATAGATGAATTATATTTTGTTTATAGTATGTAGTTTTACTTAAGTAAGACTTTAACTGCTAGACTGTTACTTGTAATGGATTGTTTTGACATTGGAGTACTTCTTCTACTGGTTGCATCTGCTGTGCACATGAAAAATGAACAGTTGGGTCTCTGAAGCTATTGCGCTTCTATTTTCCTCAGTTTACTCAACAGTCTACCGAAAAAGTGAACATTGATCTTGCAGCTAAAAACTCAATGAGGGAGTATTAATGGTTTAGCAGACGCTCTCACAGGAAGAAACTTCAAGTGTGCAGAAATGTCTGGTAATCCCCACCAAAACTATTCCACTAGAGGACTATTTAGTTGGATGTAATCTTGCCTAATAAATATATTTTATGACTTCCACATACAGTCTTTCTTTGTTTACAGCAAGAAGAACCAACTTTTCACTCTCATGAAAAATATCTGCACTCAACTCACTCTCGTATTTTCACCAGACAGCATTAATAACAGTCTCCAAAGAGGTTTTCTTTGTGTCAAACAAACTGCGTCAAATACACTTTCCTTATGTTGAAACATAAAAAACAATTTTATTTTCAATGTTAAGAGTGGTAACAAAGAAAATAAATGACATTAATTAGACTATTGAGTGCAGTGATACAAAGGAGAAAGGGTGAGTAAAATACAATCAGTGATATGTTGGTGGGAAAACTGCTCACCCTGGTTCTCATGGTTTTATTCTACTTTTGTCCAATAATCATTTCCCCATGCTCTTCAGAAAATGTAACTTCTCAGTGGCTATTATACACCTCATCTCCTCCACCATCGTCTCCTCCTCTGTCAGCTCCTCCAGGGACGGGCCTCTTCCGTCTCTTATTGAGCAGAGGGTTGTTGGACGTGTCCAGGTCTTTGATCTTAACCTGGTCGTAGTCGACACGCATTGTGGCCAGGGCGCTGGTCATTTCCTCCTGTTGGAAGACGAGACGTTTTGTGCTGAAAATCTGGTGCTTTACTGTCACCTTGTGGACATATTCTAAATATAAACGGAACCAAACAGTGTGTCCCACCTTCACATCGTCCCACAGCTCCTTGTCCTCTGTCAAAACACGTGAGGTGTGGAGGGGGGTCGGAGGGACCACCATTGATTGCTGCAGCACAAAAAAAACACAAAAATCTTTTGAATAAAAGGGGATAAAACATACGGGTCTATAGGCGAGGTGGCAAAGGGATAATTTACACTAATCCAGGGATGGTTGACAAACTGGCCGATGGTCATCCTCTCATTGGGGTCCGTCTTCAGTAACTGAATGATGAGCTGTTTTGCTACAAAACACAATTAAAAACAATATCAAGCATTTTATACAATAAGTATTTAGTGCAATATGGAGCTATAATGATGTTCTTTTTTGTGTTGACTGGAGATGCAGGTTGTTCAGGAACTTTCAAACATGTGATTGGGTGAATGCAGCCTGCACCATTTAAACTGCGTGAATTTATTTTTTTGCCACTTGGGGGCTGTGGAAACAAGCTGTAACAAACACTGACATATTATTCTCTTAAGTTCTTATGGAAGACTTTTTTTGCAGTTGCTTATATCTAGCTGTTATGGAGCAGCAGTATCAATCATTTGTAGTTGTGTTTCTGGCCTCCTGATGAATGTATCATTCACTTTCTTTTAGCTCTATTTTTGTTCTCTACCAACTTCTGAGATAAATATGTGTCTCTTGTGCTGCTAAATGCACCACCATATTCACCCACTAGTTGCAAATTGTGTCAGTCTGTCGTTTGGTGCTGGGCAAGTAGTGTGCAGTGATCAGACTGAACCAAAACAGTAAAGTTGCAGGTCATAAAACAAAAAAAAAGCAGTTTAAGGATAACAGCATGCCAGTAATTATTGCATGATGAACACTGATAGAAATCACTAAATTGACAACAAATATTTTTTTATTGTTCTGCAAAAAATGCTTTATATAATTTGTTGCATTCCATGTTTATTCCTGACTTTATGCTGGTTTTCATGCAAAGTAAGAACTCCATTACAGTTTTTGAATCTTTCCCTTGATATTTATGAATTTTATGCCCAAAGTCTGACCTTCCTCCGAAACCTCAGCCCACTCAGGGTTGGGGAACTCATATTGGCCCAACCTGATCCTCTGCTTCATGCCTGGAGAGATGGCCTGACCTGTGTTTGAGTAGAACGGAGGAAACCCACACAGACTAGAAACAGAAAAAGAGGCTCTTTAAAGAAAATGCAGAGTTGAACATTAATATACAATATACCAAAATAGTTGTATATGTTTAATTAAGTTGAATCGGTTGCAGACACACATGATACTCACAGAATGTACATGATTACGCCCAGAGACCACATGTCACATGATTTGTCATATTTCTCTGGCCCAAGCACTTCTGGGGCTGAATGAACAAATAGATACAGAAAAAAACAACGCAATGATGTGGAGAATGAAAGGCACATTCACACAAAAGCAGATAAATATGCAGACACACGTGGACAACATGTGAGTGAATGACATACCAAAAAGCTATCTCTATGACAGCGCATATGCAGATTTCACTCAAACTCATTCTAATGCTCGACAGTAAACGCTCACCAACATAATATGGAGTGTAACAGGGAGTTTGGAGGGAGTTTTGCAGTGTCGTCTCCTTAGCAAAGCCAAAGTCAGTCAGCGTCAGTGTGGCGTTACTCTCCTTGGTGGTATAGAGCAGGTTTTCAGGCTGTAGTGTGCATGGGGAAAAGAAAACAACAAAAAATTCAAAACAATGTATTTAAGTTAGAAATTCTTTCTGACCGTAGAAGCGGCAGCACCTTCACATCCCTATGAGCGATGTCCATGTGGTGGAGATACTCTATGGCCGTGCCGATGTCATGCATGATCTCTGACGCCTCTGATGGACAGACATGACATAGATGTAACACGCACAGGACCCATACATTAAAGCTGCTTAACGTGAACTATAACCCACCTCTCTCTGTAAAAGCCTGGTCCCCTCTGGCCTGAATGCGACTGAACAGCTCTCCTCCCTCCATACTGTGACAAGATTAACAAAGACATCAGAACTGGGGCAGCGGGGGGACTCTTGGCAACCGGCCACAGTTCATTACTGCGATTGTGGTTTGACAACAAAGCAAGTCATTGTGAGTCACAATTTACTGTTGAGATGAGTACAGACTTCTGAGCCACTGCAGACCCAGATGACTCAAGCAGTAAGGACGTTTTAAAGGGAGAATAATAAACTATTAATTTCATACTACAGGATTTTTTTGTTTTTTTTAAACGACACATAAATTATGTGACATATTTGGTTCAGGACATTACAGATTCAAATGAGCTTTATTTTAATAAGAGTCTATGAGTTCATGAGTCTAATTATCTACAGTTATATAAAAGCAGGAAAAAATAACAATGGAAAGTAATGTATATGTAATGTATATAAGTAATGTATAAAAAACACCTAAAAGGGTATAGTTGTTATCGCTACACAAAGAATATAGCAAATATATATATGCAGATTATGTAAGAAATAAAAATATGAAATATATATATATATATATATATATATATATATATACATACATATATATAGAAAAAGGTCAGTCTTTTTTTTAGCATGCAGAACTTTAAGGAAGATGTAATTTAAACAACCCCAGAAAAAGAGTTAGGACCTCAATATGTTATCTAAAAGTACAAGCTGCGATCTGGAAGACGCCTCAGAGAGCAAAGAGCAATCAGGATTTTAAAGTTGTTTTTATCCATCATGCAAACAGAAACAATAAAAGTATGGGAGATTGAAGATATGTATTTTTTCCCTGTTTAGTTTCCCCCAAAATCAAATACAAGTGCAAAATTATATTCCAATCCCAAGTGGTCACTCAAGAATGCAAGATAGTCTGAACAGGGCATCGATTGTTACATTACTCACATACAGTACGAGGCAGATTTAGGTTGTATGACTTCACACAATCCATTTCTCTTCCTAAATGAATGCAAACCTCGACCAAATTAGAGAAAAAACACATACAATCTAGTTGAGCTTTCCTGTAAAGGCCTAAATCAAGCAGACAATAAATATCGTAGTGCTGGTAATGCTCACCACTCCATTATGATGAGGAGACATTTCTTCCCCTGGTGCATGTTCTCATACAGGCTGAGTATTCGGACGATGTGGGGACCTCCGGAAACTCGCCAGTGCAGCTCAACCTCCCGTCTGGCTTTGGGAGTATCATACAGGATCTGCTCCACGTAACAAAAACACGTATCAAGGAAATGCCTCCGTTTCATATTTGTCTAAAGGTATCTGCATGTTTGTAGATCACAGTCTCACAGTCTAAAGTAGATAAGCCTTATTTCTTTTCAACAGAAGTAGTTTGACATCTTTGTCAAGAAATCAATGAACCCACACAGAGACAAACAAATGCTCTGTTGTGAAGAAGACACTCACTGTTTACAGCACTGTTAGTGGCCGCTATTAAAGCCATTAATCTACATTTTCTGGAAAGAACATTAAGAGTGAATACTGTGAGAATGCATTTGGCTATGTGCTCTATCTTTAAAGACACAGTGCTGCAGTTCTGGTAGCACAGCCAGGGGAGGAGGATATCCTATTTTCCTAGACATGCAGACCCATTCCTGAACCCTTGAGGACATTACAATGAATTTATAGCAATGCAGGAGGAAACGCTCAGATATGAGCGTTTGACTTTCCTCAAAAGTCTCTATGCACAAATCACAGCTTCACCCTGCAGAACATGAGATTATTTCCACAGATTACCCATTTCCTTTTAGCTAGAAAGATATCCCAAATGAAACAAGCAGAGGCGCTCATGGGGCTGCTCTTTCGGTTTCTGTTTTCTTAAAGCCAGCTGTTTGTTGACTTACCAGCACTGAATTTCTCACAACTGATATTTCCCAAGTTGTCTTTTAAAAAAATCACTGTAAACATTTAATAAGCTGGAACTAAATGTTACGTAGAGAAGTAATAAAATGTGTTAAATGTCAGACGATTATGTAAAGTATTAACAGGGCAGATCATTGTCCACACAACAATCGTAGAGCAGAGTGGAAACTGTGTCAGAGCATCCCAGACAGCACATCACTGCCTGACAGACACGTCCACTGTCAGGGCACAGGAAGTGCATTTGCAGATAATTGCTTCATCCATCCATGGTTTAATTCATATTTCATCTGCGCCACATCAGATAACTAATCATACAAATTCAAAATAAATACTAGACATCAAACCTTACATAGAAATTCTGGACACATTTCCAGTATGATAACATGGTGGATACCGTATACATGAATAATTGATGGCTGCTCTCTTTCTTTCCAGTGGCAGCAGCCTCCAGAGTATTACCCAGATAACACAGGGTTAAGAAGCAGATAAACACACACCTTAAGGGCACATTTCTCTCCCGTTTTCTTGCAATAACATTCCAGCACTTTGCCATTGATGCCCAGGCCAAGAACCTGAGCTGTGATTTTATAATCATCTGTCACTGCATTCTTCCTGAACTCCAGTTTGGAGTAAGCAGGCGGCTGGACGTCAGTGGGGCCGCTGCCCAAGCTGCTCTCCAGGCTGTTGGTGTCACTGTGGTGCCCTGTCCCGTGCTGCGCAGTGATTGAATTTACCGACTGCTCCTCCTGGTTATGATGCATTTTATTTTTGTTAAAGCCAAAAGTGATGCAGAGCAAATATCAGTGTCTGCAACAAAAAGTATCCGGTGTCATCCTAGTTCATCCGCGTACGTCCAACGGACTTTTTCGTGCTGCCCGACAGAACATCTCGACCCACTTCCAACACGAACAAACGGAGGTATGAAATTTAGAAAACCCCCTTGTCACAAAAAAGGGCGGAGGTCTGAAGCCACACCGGTATACTTGCATAGAGAAATTCAAAAGATCCCAACTGATATCTGGATGTAATTTAAAGAAATAGTACAACACATTAAATGACTGAGAGAAATAAAACAAGCTTCAAAAATCGGTGCCCATGCCTGGTCCTCATCGCGGTTATCTGCGTCTTCTTCCTGCGGGGTTCACTCAAGCTCTCCAATTCCCTTACGTCAGTGAGGAGCGCCTCAAATGTATTTTCTTAAAGGAACAACCACGCGTAAAGACGCACGGCAGGGTACCAGTGAGACAGCAAAGACCCGAAGCTATGACCAGAAATCCATATATGAAAATATTATTGCTGAATCACACAGATGTAAGATAAACTGTCAGTAAAGTTATTAACTGAGCAATCAAGATAACGGGGGGCGGGTCCTATTTTGTTTGTCTGATATGGTTGGCTGTGCTCTTCTCCTTCCATACATGCTAATATGCTTACAGTCAAGCCTTATTTCTATTTCATGTAATTAATTGAAACAATTGCATTTTTTAGGACAACGTATGGCCTCTATCGCTCCTCTTTCACATTTATTAGCCAGGTTGACAACAGACAAAATGATGTGTGATTATGTCAGTGATCTGTCTCTGGTTGCTTAATAGCAAGTTGCTTTTTTCAGCACCGAAAACTTGGTTGAAAAGGACATCAAAGCGGAAAATGTGTGTGGTTGAAAACAAAAAGAAACCAGCAAGCTGTGACCAAAAGATGGCTTTCACATTCTGATTGACTTCTTCTCCTTTTTTCACAACATAAAATTAACAATAACTAGATTTCTTTATCATTGACATCTTTGGAGACAACATTTTTGTAGATTACTGACATACAAATGAGTCATAAAGCCTTTATCATTTAGACATACTTGTAGTTTAATTTTTAGCACAAAAAAAACAATATAAAGCCTGGCACAATGTTGTAGTCTACTTTACATTTTATGTATTCATGGAAAACAATTTATGTAACAACATTGCCAGTGATTCATTGACTAGTACTGACCGTCTGCAGTGTATCATTTCAACAGCTGCATAAGCCCAGACTTAAACACTACTGAGGGGATTACAGCTTCAGGTTTCCTTGCTGTGTGGCTGTATGTAGCTGGCTGTTGATAACATGCGCTAAAATGTTGGCTAGCCCTGCAGGGCACGGTCCAGCACGCACTCATCCTGCACAGGAAAGGGCATGGTGACACGCAACTGCTCATTCTCCTCCATGGTGTGCTGGATGGTCTCATAGGCGTTTGAGTTTCCAGACCAGCAGCGACGAGCCACCTGCAGCACACAGAAACAGATTGGAGCCATTAGAGCACATTGTAAACAATACGTGAGGCTGGAATCTATCATGCTGCTCTCCTCTCAGCACTCTCACCCCATTGGAGACGTCCCAGTTGAGCACTAGTCTGGCACGCTTTGCTGCCTCCTCTGAGCCGTCTAATAGCAACCCAAACCCTCCATTCATTACTTCGCCCCTGTAGGTGAGACAAGAGATAAAGTAATAAACACACTATTGATGATTCAAAAACTTTCACACATTACTGTTTACTGGATGACTAGCTAGACTTACCAGCCAACACCACCACCGTTGTGCAGGGATACCCATGTGGCGCCTCTGAATGCATCACCAACAAAGTTCTGGACCGCCATGTCTGTAAGGGGGAGACATTGTGAGCTCTTACTTTCTAAAACAATTCCTGCAGTGTTACTGGTTTATATGAATGAAGAGAGACAGGAAATGCATTTTTGTGTTAACCCTAACCCAACGAGGAACCGAATCTGTGTGGACTGTAGAGCTGCTCATCATGTGCACCTTTTACCGAGGCACCATTGAGAGCATCCTGACAAACTATCACTGTGTGGGAAAGCCCTGCAGCGCATAGCGAACACAGCTGGAAGGATCATTGGTGCCTCACTCCCCTCCCTGCAGGACATATACGACACTCGCCTCACCCGCAAAGTGACCATGATTGTGCGCGACTCCAGCCACCCCTCACTCAGTCTCTTCAGCCTCCTGCCCTCTGGGAGAAGATACCGGAGCCTCCGTGCTCGCACCACCAGACTCTCAAACAGCTTCGTCCACCAGGCTGTTAGGAAGCTGAACTCTCTGAACTCTCTCCCTCCTCTCTTTTAAGACTCCCCATGTCCAACTGCTGCTAAATCCCCATGTCCAACTGCTGCTAAATCCCCATGTCCAACTGCTGCTAAATACAGATTGATAGTTTTTTTTTCTCTTATTATATATATATATATATATATATATATATATATATATATATTGTCTAAATGTGTTTTTAATCTATTGCACTATATTCACTTTATATGTTTATATGTTGGACTAGAGAGAAACATCTTTTCAACTCCCCTGTATGTCCAGTACATTGTGGAATTGACAATAAAGCAAACTTTGAACTTTGAAATTTGATCTCTCATGTTTCAACATCTGTCACAATGTTGGCAGCGTGTCCACTTTCAAGTCAAGTTTCATTGCCCACAGGACAAAGCATAAAACTGACTACAAATGATGCACGTTTCAATGTTTTTGTCCTGTGTAACATCTGAGCCATTGGTTTCCAACACACCACATACCTGCACAGAAGGCAGATCCGTCATACACATTGGAGGTTTCCCTGAAGGGGCTGTCTGTGCCACTAACATCATGATGGTCTCTGCTAATAACCACAGGAGCCTGAACAACAGAAAGAACAAGAGACATTGTTGTGACTCCAGTGAAAACTTGATATCATACAGACTGCAGTAAACATGAAACGATCTTCTTAGCCGACAATTTATCCTCTTACTGAAACTCGTCCATCAGCAATAGCCTGGTTGATAGCCAGAGCAATGCAGACTCTTCCTTTCTGGTCAGAGTAGAGGATTCTGGCTTGAGATCCCACAACCTAAACAAAGAGAAAATACAGAGGAAATCCTGTTATTGCAGATGCATATCTTTTCATCAGACTTTTATTGAATGATGGCATTGGTTGCCCAGAAAGTTACTCACCATTTTGTGTTTTCCAGCCTCTTTGATCCAGCGGATGTTATCGTCATACTGCTGCTTGATGTGATCCGTCACGTTGCCACTAATTTCCTCCAGGACAGTAGCAGCGATATCATCCGTTGTAGCAAGATCTTGGGGGTCGCCAGATGTGCACACCCAGCGAAATGGGCCAAAGCCCAGAGAGAAAATGTCCCTGCGGCCAAGGTGGAAGGAGAGTCATTACAAACTATTAAGCAAGAACAAAAGGTCTGATCACAGTTTACAGTTCTGTGTTTTTATAGACGTACACATTTTCTACAGTTCTATTACATGATCAATGCTAGATTAAATGAATGTCTCACCCCATAATGTCCTGGACATAAGAAGGGTAACGGAATTCTGTTGCCCCTCCGCCAGCCTTTTCTACCTCTGCTCCTATAAAAAAAACAAGAAACACAAGCCTCTGTATAGGTCTGACATGTACTGAATAATAATCATTATATATTCTGAGTGAGCTTGAGTAAGTGTTAAGTTACTGACCAGCTCTCTGGGCCTCCAGGAGGAATGCGTTGCCATAGTCCCAGAAGAACATACCAGCATCAGACAGCTTGTTGATGGCCTTGATGTGTCTGCGGAGGCTGTGATCAGACGTAAAAAAACATTATTTCAACTCAATAGACCCACATATTGCAGAACGTTTACCATAGAAACGTGCATCTGTCGTGATTTATATTACCTTTCTTGGACCATGGTGAGGAAACGGTTCGAATCAGTCGACATGAGCTGATTCGCCTGGCGGAAGCTGAGCTGGACTGGGTAGTAGCCTCCGTTATATGGGTTGTGAAGGGAGGTCTGGTCTGAACCCAGATCCACCAGGAGCTCCCCTGTCCTCTCATACTCCAAAAGCAGCCTCTCCCTGGTTAGACAGTTAGAAAAAGTAGGACAAAGATGTCAAAAGTATGTAACAAGAGGGGTCTCTTTCACTGCAGCTGCAGACCTGGACCGTGTCGAGGCAGCAGGAAGTTTAAACCTCTCACTCACCACAAGTCTACAACGTTGCCATGATAACCAACACTGAGGGGAGTCTTGGCGCTCCTGGCCTCTCTGAAAAACACAAATGTACGTTATGATATACATCTTACTGTCTCTACTGTGCACATAACAATAGACTGACCAGGTAGGTTTATTCAAGTACTGTACTTAGTGAAAACTGTAGGTTCTTGTACTGTACCGGAGTACTTCGATTTCATGTAACTTTGTACTTCTATTCTTCTACCTTTCAGGGGAAATGTTGTACTTTTTAATCCACAACACTAATTTGACAGACATAGTTACTGGTTACTTTTACATACAAAACATATGATGAGGTTATAAAATATGATACAGTTGTGTAGATTAAACTACCTAACAGTAAATAAAGTAGTACAAATTAGCACCACCTTGACCGATGGACATAAACAATAAAATACACACGAGAAATACACAAATATGCTTTTAGAGACAAAGATCGATATGATATCCCTCTCATGTCTGTACTGTAAATATGAAGCTGCCGCCAGCAGCTCGGTAGCTTAGCTTAGCATAAAAATGTGAAATAGGGGGAAACAAATAGTCTGACGGAAGACAAGAAAATCCACCTGGAGTTCAGATGCATTATTTTTACACTTCAGTTTTTGAATGTTCTAAACAAATATGACCTATTTATAAGTTTTAGAAGTGCTGATAGGAGGATTGTAATAGCTTTGGACAGAACCAGGATAGCTGTTGCCCTGTTTTATGCTAAGCTAAGCAGGATGTAGCTTTGTATTTACCTTACATAAGAGTTGTATTGATGTTTTCATCAACTCCCCAAATATTTAACTAATCTTTTTTATAATCTAATAATCTGCACATAATAGTATAACACTCACAAGGGGCCATTTTTCTACATTAAGTACTTCTACTTTTGCCCACGGTACGTACATACTTTTACTTGTCACTGATTATTCTTTACAGTGTGATATTACTACTCTCACTTAAGTAAAGAATGTGAATACCTCCTTCACCACTGACACATACATAGGCCTTATTTTAGCCATCAGGGCCGCCAATTATGTTACAAGTACTGCAAGGCTGGACTTTTACTGGACAGAACTGACAATATGAGTCTCACACACGTACAGAGAGACATAAACACACTAAAACTTCGTCATATTAAAACCCTGATGATCATTGATAACAGTTGAATAGAGGAGTACAGGCGAGTATGCAGCAACATTTTTTTTGTTGTAATTACTTTTCCTCTTTGTTACCTGATGCGTTTAATGCAGTGATCCATGCTGCTGGTGACCTCCATCAGCCAGCCCTGCTCATATCTCTTTTTAAGAGGAGCCTCATCCACCTACACAGAAATCAAATTCACAGTCACACTGACACACAGGACTTCCTTCATTCTCGCTCAGTCAGCAGTGAGTGTTTATGGGAAATGACCAGACACCAACTGACCTCTGCAATGACGCCAATACAACCGGCAATGACGGCAGCTTTAGCCTGAGCTCCACTCATGCCACCCAGGCCGGAGGTTACAAAGACACGCCCCCTCAAGTCACCAGAGCCCAAGTACCTCCGGCCGGCATTCAGCACAGTCAGCTACACAGAAAAACAGAAGAGAAGAATGTAAAAACGGGAACTACAACATACGGGTAATGGGTTCTAGCAGTGGTTGGTCATTTAATAAATCATTTTAGTGGTCTAAAGAGATGACAATTTTGTGTCAAAGAATTTCTCTTTGTTCTTGTTACATCTGGTGACACTAATCTTACAATGTCTTTCAGGGGTCCTGACCCCCTACTTGGGATCTACTTAAACTATTTTGGAAATACTGGAGTGTTGTGCGCTGATCTTTTCTTAATGACTTCACAAACCAAAGTGCCATGAACAATCCCTTGAGGTCCAATGTAGCAGTAGCTGCCTGCTGTCATTTGACCGTACCTGAAAACAATAAACAAAGGAACAAGGTCAAGACATCTGGACCCACATGAGGCTTAATTCAGCATCATTTTCTCCCTGAAAACCACCTTTAAAACTCACATTGTTACACCGAGGGCAAACATCTTTTCATACTGATTTCTAGAAGAGTAATTTGGAATAACCTGGGGGATACAAAAACAAGAGAGTGTGTCAGTGGGCTGAAAGTTTCATCAGATGTGTGTTTGGCAGTTACCATGCCGTTGGTGATGATGGCGCGAGGTGATGAAGGCAGGCTGGGGAACAGGCCCATGGGATGACCGCTGTACATGACCAGAGTTTGTTCCTCTGTCATCTCGCTCAGGTAATGCATCACCAGGCAAAACTGCACCCAGACACACACAAGTCGTTAATATGCATCTATTTAGACTCTATACATTGTTTCTGAACACAAGCTAACTCAAGACTTACCTGGGCCCAGTTACTAAACACCTGTCCATTCCCTCCGTAGGTGACGAGCTCCTGGGGGAACTGAAGGAAAAATACAAATGAAGGCGTCATCGAAAAACAAAAGACTTCCCACACTTTGTCACTAAGTTAATACAAGCTGTGTTAGAGGCTCACCTGAGCAACTGCTGGGTCCAGGTTGTTCATGATCATTAGCATTATGGAGGCCGCTTGACGTGTGCGGCATGGGTACTGATCTATGGGGTAAGCTCTGAGGAGACGGAGGGACAACTCACATCATTGTTGTTGTTGAGGAACAAAACTAGACAATACCTTCTACAAGCAAGACTTTTTCTGAACAGAAGCCACTGTGGCCACAAGTTTTACATACAGGATGACACATTGATTTCCATATATTTCTGGAGAAGGTACGGTGTGTTTACTTCTTCTTTTGTGGGACACCCATTAAATGTTTATCTAAAGTCATGAGGGTCAGTTATGCAGCAATGTCTATCTAAAGTTAGCTAACATTAGCCACCTGGTCATACCAGCCCAGTAAGTCTGTAGCAGCAAACCATTGTGTAAATGCAAAAGGTCCTACTGACAGATATACAAGCAGTGAAAAGACACTTCAGTATCCGTGCTCTAGTTCAAGTGATTTCATTTTCATTTAACAAATTACTAAACGCATCTTTCATTTAGTTACCGTCATCTCCGATAATAAAGTTTACTGGTCACCTGTAAGATATTCTTCCTCAGCATATATTTTTGTCTTAATAACCAAATTTCAAGGATTATAGTCACTATATTAATATCAAAAGGTACAAAAATAAATAAATAAATATACATATCAGAATAATTTGACACTTGAATATTAGGTCATGGTCAGGTTGCCTCACCTGATGCGTAATGCGGGGCAGAAGCGGTACATGTAGATGTGTCCGTACTGCCGCAGCTCTTGAGCAAATTCGGGTGCAAGTGTTGCGTGGTGGGATGGAGGGAAATAACGCAATGCATTTCTCAGCGCCAACTAGAGGGAAGAGGCATTTACACTAGATTAGTACAAACAAATTAATGTTTCAATACAGTCAGATGGATGAGCAGATCCTTTCCACTTTTAAGACAACAGGCTGAACAATCACCGTCTCTTTTAATTATTGACTGAAGCCTTTGCTCCGAGTTTGGGCAATCAGTTGAGGACCTTAGAGAATAATCTATTTTTTGGGGCAGTCTGTGAGACAACAATGATGATGCAATAAGTCAGTACACAGCAAGGCATACAATTGAATTGAGCCTCCACACAGATACATTTATAGTAAAGCAATCGACAGTGAGCCGTAACCTGCTTTAGCTCACACGCACATTGCTTCATGATGTTTAAAGGTAGTCTACTTTTTCCTTTCGACAGCTTTTCGACAGTTTTGACTGCATGAACGGTGTTTTCCATACAATTAGACACACAATATCTTCACTTCAGAGTTTTATTCACAGAAAGTATTTTGACTTGTTATATTGGGAAAAGCACAGGATTCATGATTCCTCAGTTTCATTTAGGTGTGCATAAAATGGAATGCAGCCGTTATTTATCAAATTAGTGTCACCTGTATTTAAGGGGTATAAATGTCATAAAATGTAATCGGACTCCTGATTAAAATACAAATTATTGAGTAACAAAGGTGTTAAAAAATGTCCAATGCACAGACATTATTTGCATATTGACTCACCCGCTCCTCCTCCACTGTAAGGTTTGGGGTCCGCATAGGTGCATGTGGCACATCGGGGTCTCTTCCCTGATTCAGAGGCAAGGGGTCCAGCGGTAAACCACTGCATACCGCCTTTAAAGAAGACATCCCGTCTGAGATCTTCTGTCACACGCTTGAGCAAAAACCTGAACAGAGTTCACGCTGGAGATTGAAGGCAGCTTTCACCCTCACTGCAAACCGTCCACTATGGAGACAAAGACGCTGTACTTGTGAAGATTTGAGGGCGATGTCTCATTGGCTTTTCGGTCGTCTTTGCCCTTCACAATCCACCAATGGTGCAGCACGGACTAAATAAAGCGGTGTTTGGTAATTATTGATCCCTGAGGGAGTTTGAAGTGGCGCATGCTTCAGTGGACAAACACCGTCACCGGCCTCTGACCCCTGATGCCCGAGTGCGTTTCACAACCTTTGGACAGGTCAACAACCGTTATATAGATGTATGTTATTTAACTGATCTCATGTAAAAATGCACATTTACAGCTCAATAATATCAGACTTTTGATGAGGTCCAGTGGGTGCATGTTTAGCCTAATAATGTAATTATAAAGACAATGGGAAATGCGTTAAAGAGAATTGTCCTCCCAGAAAGTACAATAGCTAGCGTCCTCATTCTAATTTTTCAGCAACTAACGTAGTCTATATTTTGTACCTGCGAGGGTGGAAAGTACAAACTAAATAACAGAGGGCTTAATAATATTTACTTCATTAATACACTGCACCTCTGAAATACTTGATCTTTGCTGATTCAAGTCACTGGTAGAGATCAAACAATGCATTTGGAGATTCTTTGGAGTGTTTTCTTAATTCTGAATGAATTAATTGAAACTATACTTCAAAGGTAGTAATGATAATAAAGCAAAGAGTTTCTTGTGTATCTCAACTCAAAGTTACCCTCTGCTATAGCTGCATGAGTTAAAACATGTGGTCTTTATGACAGAGTAGACTTGCATTATGGCGAGTTCAGAAAAAGGTCGTTATTGCAACATCAGATACTTTTTTATAATGTTTATTCTAAAACTTTAAACAACAATTTACTGTATTCCCGTGTTGGACACGGTTGAGTTCAGCTGAGGTAAAAGTTTTAAATCTGGTTATAGATCAGCAGAAGAAATGCTCAAGACTAGAACTGTAGAAATGTAAGGTAGTCTTCAGTACATTCTTCATGCCTCTGTGAATTTAGCAGTTATTTGTTTGTTAGCTTACTAATATAAACTTTGAGTCAAAGTCTAATCTGAAAATAAACTTTGTAGAACACATAACGTACATGTAAAACGCACATCGCAAGAAGATAGCAGATACGAGAGAATGTAAATGTAAAGGGTGTGTATGTTTTTACTGTTATCTTCAAATTCAGAGTGAATCACAACGGGAACGTTAAACCATCTTGACTTGAGACAAGGAAATACACTGAGCTGAGTCTTCTAGGCTCTTGATTGTTTTAGATTCTTTAATCTTGTTTTGCTTCAACACTAAAGATATTTTTTTCATTGATAGCATTGAATTAGTTTTACAAAAGTATAAGCCCATCTTAAATAAATAGAATTAATGTCCAACCTCAAGCACACATATCTACTCTGTAAATCACATGTAGGCTACTCTGCGCTACCGTTTGTGTCTGTGGACAGATTTCGTTGCAACCGTGCAAGATTCAGTCAAGAAACTTTATAGATGTGTAGTTGATCGAAGGCCCAATCCCAATGTCCACCTACGGCCTTAAGCCATGAACCTTCAGGGACTTAACTGATGTCACCTGGTAAATGGAGCGTGAGAGGTTCCAAGGGCTTGAAATGGTGTAAATACAAATGGGAATTATGGGATTTATTTTATATCTTTTACTGCCTGATTTGAACATCCTTCAGGCTCTTGCCTTGCGAGATGAGAAGTAATAGTCAAATAATCTATTATGTTTCTGTGTAAATTTAAAATGTCCGGTTGAACAGCCATGTGCTGTCCTCTTTGTCTACCTTTTGTTTTGTTTTACGCCTCTGGGCTTCCCCTGCAGAAATAGAGACTTATGGAAAGTGTGAATAAAGGACTAAAAATGTTTGCAAGTGAGCTCTCAAACACTTAAAGGTTTGACGGTGGGACAATCCTACACCCTCACAGACTTTGCAGGAAAGAGCCTCAAAGTCTGCGAGTGTGGACGTTGGGATTGGGCCAAAATCAAAGTCAAGTTTGAAGATGGGCCTGGTCCGATCAAGTTTACACCCCTGGACGTGTGTGTGTGTGTGTGTGTGCCCCACTGGCACCGGCTCAGCCATTGCCGTGTTGGGAACCGTGTGAAGGCAATCCCTCAATCATATGTATGCTCTGAATTTTGGAATTAAGCACCTTTAAAGCCTTTGGGCTCACGCTGCCATCGAGGCTCATCATTAACTTTCCACTGAGCCCTCTGTGTTGGGTTGTGTAGTTTCAGAGTCTTGCTTGGTGGCAGATGTTGAGTTTGCACCTGACGTTTCTGCAGATGCAGAGTCTTGTGAGGTCTGCTTCGTTTCTGACGATTGTTCTTGTTCTTGCACCTTCTCATCTTCTTGTGGATAGAGCTCCGGGTATTGCTGCATACACTCCTGCATTGCCCTGAACTGCTCCAGGCATTCAGAACCCTTCACCTCCTCCTTACTGTAGTGGAAACAGGAGAAGGCATCCTTAAAATCAGTCCCACAGGGTCCACTGGCCACCCCACCTAGACAGGGGCAGTTCCAGTTTATCTCCCCACTGGGAAGAATCAGACCTAGGATGAGAGAGAGGAGAGGTTTAAATTAATACACAGGTTGTAATTTTGCCTTTTTCAAACAAGTCTGATAACCGGGCCCTCTTGGTAGTTTCACTGTTCCTCACCTTGTTCCTCATATGGGTCATTAGGATCTTCCTCTACGAGCTCGGCACTGCTGGGCGTTGCATGATCCTCTTTGGTGACGAAGATAATTCGGTCTTTACCTGTTGTGAAACATGTGGAAAGACAACTCAAACAAACAGATCAGAGATAAGAACTGCGGCACCGAATCCAAACCAAAGGCAAAGGTCGATGCCGAGGTAGAACTTTAGAATGTTACTGTCTGACCCAGATGAAGCTAGTTTTAACTCCTTCATATGAAGTTAGGTATTTTAATCCAATTGTTCCCAACTTTGATGTCGGGCGCACTACACATGACAGGATGCCCAAAATAAACACAGCTTTTTGTGAGGGGCCACCAGCCAAAAATAAGATTCAATGTATTGTGTATGCGTATTATATGTAGCTAATGTCTACCTGCAAAGTAGTGTCTATGTCGATGTAAGAAGTACAATAGAGTCTATAGTTGTCAAATACTTGTAATGATGTAAGAAGTACAATAGAGTCTATACTTGTCAAATACTTGTAATGATGTAAGAAGTACAACATAGCAGTATAAAGCAGCATGTACCTCAAAATCGTACTTAATGGATTACTTGAGCAAATGTACTGAATTGGTTTCCACCACTAGACCAGATGTCCACCGACACCATGACAGTGAAGATGTTTTAAAGATGAAGACCTCGACGTATAGTGACAACAATGACTCAAGGTGTAAGGAAAGGACTCAAGGTGACACCACAGTGTGAGTCATTGAAAGAACCCTAACAGTCCTGTTCACTCATGATGTGTCAGGTACAGATTTTAACAGTCCTGGTTCTCATCGTCACAAGAGGCCTGTTATTATACTTTTAACAACTGGGTAAAACAATTCTCATTCAGACTACAATCAACTCCAGGGTTAGCTTTCCAGATAGGTTAGCCGGTTAGCACGTCGTGCTTACCTTCCTCTCTGACCGAGCTCATGTCTTCACGCTGGGACAGACAGAATTCCTCTTCTTCAAACCCACAGCTCCAAGGACAACGACTCTTTTCTGACACGCAACGCAGCACATGAAGATGGCAGAAGTTTTAGTGCAGCAACAGCTAGCTTGTTTCATAACCATCTACTGCAGCCTCTTCATGAGCGTGTGGTCTTCTTCTTCTTCTCTTTGCCTATTTCCGGTAGCGCAGACGCTCTGTGGCGCTTTGCTGCCACCAACAGTTCATAACATGACATGCACATTCCGCTCAATGGTTCGAGGGATTTCTCACAAGCAAAGGATTTCTTTCCCCTCTAACTTTCTGATAAAATTGTATTTCTATTCCATTTCTCTGTAAAATAAATACAATATACCACCCTTATAAAGGAGGATTAATGAGATATCTAGAAGGAAATGTCTCCTTCTTCTCACACTTGAGAGTTCACACTTTAATACACTGATTTACTTACAATAACCCTGCAACAAATACCTGTTTGATCCTTATATATAATTGTATAATTAATTATTTTTAATTTTAGTGCTGGGAGATTGGGATAAGTCATGTTGCCATAATAATAACAAAATCTCTTTATACATCTTGAAAGGGAAATTTACCAACATGTATCGAGTTGGATAAACTCATTTTGTTCAGTCAAACGTCTCTGTGGTGATTTACTCACATAAAATTCTAAAGTACTGTAGATCACAGTATATGGAATGGCAATCCATATGTGAAGGGGATATTTAATTGACCAGCCAGTAGCTACATCATGTCCTCCTACAAAACACACTCCAATGTAGCTGTTAGAAGTGTTTATTACTGTAATTACTATGGGCATCCTTAGGTGGAAGCTGATACATAGTTGGATGACTTTATAGTGATAATATAAAATAGGTCTTCATAAGATATGATTATTAATGTACAATATGTTCACAAACACTTAAATACACCTCAGCAGAGTCAGAATACTAAGCCTTTTCCAACAAAAAAGGTTTTATTGAGAATGTTTGTTCTGAAATGCATTTATTTTTTACATATTCAAAAGATTGTATTTTACACAAATTCAAAGTTATTCAATGAATGGCCTATGTACAGGAAATCATAATTTTTTTTCAGGTGTGGAAAAAGCGATTAAAGCAAGTATGCCGAGAGCAGACAATTAAAAAAACAAAACAAATAAATCTTAGAAAGTGGGGCACAAAAATGAATGTGACACTGCAGCTCCCTAGGAATGCCATACATTAAAACAGCGACAGGTGGACTTCCAATGTGAGCTCCACATCCTCTTACAAGATTCTGTTCAAACAACAGCTATAACACAGGGTCACAAATCAGGAAAAAGACAGTACTTGACTCAGCGTTTTACAGTTAAGCGTCTGTTCCACACCTTCACTTAAGTGGCAGGTTGATGAAAAAATAAAATAAAGCTGAAAGTAAAAGTATAAACTAAGATAACACCAAGCAGAACATTGAGTACATTTCAGCACACAGCAGGCAGTTGACCTCCACCATCCGTGTCGAGTATGCCGGCATACTGAAGCACTCCGTCAGTCTGAAAAAAGGACCGAACTCCTGCAGGACTTTATCTCATACAAAAAAATGAAGCCTTTAAAATTCATTTTGGGAAACTATAGTCTCACGTCAGTTAGAAAATCAGATGAAGTACAACTGAGATGTCGGTCTTTGTGTTGCTTTGGAAGATTCAAGGCGGGAGCTGTGCAGCCCCTCCACCTCGTAAAGGTCCAATTTAAGCAGAGATCCCTCAGTCATCCTGAAAGTGGAGCGCTGGCGTTGCAGGAGCTTCTCATAGATGTAAAATGAATGCAAAGTTGGTGATCCTAATAAAAGTTGGTAAAGGGTGGGAGGATATTGGCTTTTCTAAAAGAGCAGAGCCCCCATGCTGCCTACTTCACTTTGTTCTTTCACAAAGATCTCAAAGTACTGATAGATGATGGTGACGGCCAACAGGATACCGGTGCCGGAGCCAATGGCTCCGAGAAAGTCAGCCATTACTGATAAACCACCGATGCACAGTCCACCGAAGGCAGCGGCAGTAGGAATGTACCTACAACACAAAACGGGGAGATTGAGATTAATACGCAGAATTTCAACTCAGTGTTTCAGCAGAATGGTATATATTCAAATACATTAACCATGATTATAAAGTAGCAAAGAGTTAGATGAGAAGTGTTGCATATTGACGATGCACACCCGAGTTTGCAGTCAATTGAGGAAATCTTCAACAATAACAAAAAGGTAGTCATATCCTTGAACTGCTGCCCTACTTTAAATTACTTCAGTATCTTGGGGATTGATATTTCTTGCACTCCATCAAGGTATGAAACTTTTCATTTTTTGGGTGGAATAGCATTTACAAGGACACAAAACATTTTAACAAAAAAGAGAAATCACACAGTGATGGGATTGAATCTGTGTCAAAAGGATTAGAACGTGAGCATAGGCTTAAGCATGGAAGTTCATTATGTGTAACGAAATAATCTCAATTTAAAACGAAAACTCTAAATGTTACAGTTTAGACCAACAAGTAGAGGCCAGCTCCCTGTATCAATCCCTCTGTACGCAAAACAAATGAATGAATAAATAAATAGACTATAAAGGAAGGTACGGTGAAATATGATGTCAATGAGTTGCTTTAATTAAAAGATGGGAGTTATTGGCTTGTTAGTGACAAAAACATTAGTTCATGTAAATTCATAATAAGGGGTTCTATCTATTCTATCTGATAAACGTGTTCAATGTATGGTTTGGGCAGATGATTAGGTATGTAAAAGATCAGCAAGAGAGATGTGTAAAAGAAAAGGTTTTTGATTTTACCTGTTCAGTTCATGGACCATTGAGGTTTCTCTGTGTCCTCTCATCACCATCTGCTGCTCCTTCAGCTGTTTTGCCACCTGGATGAAAGTGAAGAACAGAATGTTAAAACACAGAGTGTTTTAAATAAAACTCATAGCACCCACCTGCCCGAAAGTGGCTACAACTTACATCTTTCGCAGAGGAGCCTGAGACTTCAATCCAGGTCTTGGAGAAAAAGGCACATGATCCAAGCATGAAGACAATGTAGATGCATGCATGGACCGGGTCATCAAGGACAGAGCCAAAGGATTCAGGGGGAGAGAAGTAGTAACAGAGCCCACCTACAGGGTAGGCCCGGGCTGGACCACTCGTCGTGGCATCCTGCAGACACGAGAGAAGAATACAAGCTTAATGAAATGCTCTAGCACCTTGAGTAACACTTAAGTACAATGTGGCGGCACCATGTCTAACACAGGCATGCAAAAAACTTTCATAACTACATGTGTGACTGTACACTGTTATTCTTTACAAATACTCCAGTAGTGCAATTGTCAAAGACAGACAAGTCCTCCTGCTCGGGACTGAAGTAGCGTTTGCAACTTTGGTAAATGATATTAATTAGATAAATACGGAACAGTTTGCATGCCTGCTGAAAATGTCAGAGTAAACATTCGGAGGCTTGTTCTTAGAATAAAGCTTGACAAATTGAAGGCAAATGTTTGATCAAGTGTATACTTACAGACCAAGTACCAAGCAGGTTAACCAGGAAGTTGCCACTGAAACGTGTGGAGAGCATCTGGGAGATAACATACAAGTTTGAGACCAAGGCAGACTGCAGGATGATGGGGATGTTGGAGGTGTAGAAGAGCTTGATGGGGTAGGTGTTGTATTGTCCACGGTAGCGAGCCGACTTGATGGGCAGATCAACTCTGAAGCCCTGTTAGAGGAGGTGAATGTGTGAGCAAAACATTCATTGTTCACATTCCCCAACTTCATTATCCATTAGGAATTCCTGTAATAACCTTTGAGAAAAGTTGCATGTTAAGAGAGGCCAGAGACTCACCTGGAAGTATATCACTACAGCAAAGACGAATACTGTGGCAATGAGGTTCATGAGGTTGGGCAGGTTCCCTCTGTAGAAAGCTTCTCTCAGAGCTCGCACTTTGTCCGTACGAGTGGCCAGCAGATGGAACAGCGCAATGATTGCTCCCTCAAACTCTGTACCTAGAAACAGAAACAGTCACAAGTACAGTGTCAGACACAATTTACATTTATCAATCAAAACCACATATTCACAGAGCAACGTGTGGATTTCTTACCTCTTCCGGTGTTCACAGTGGTGGGGCTGAAGGCCTTCCAGACGATCGTCTCACAGATGTTGGTGGCAATGAAAAGCGAGATCCCTGAACCAAGACCATAACCCTTTTGGAGCAACTCATCCAGCAGCAGCACGATCAGCCCAGCCACAAACAGCTGAGGAAGAACAGACGCAGAGACAGTCAGCTAAAGAAATTAAATTGTTCACTTTGCAATGAATTCACTTTTCTTTGGAGGGTCCAAGCTGTTTATTCTGACTATGCAAGTTATACCTCTGCATTTCCTTAACTGAACCTAATAAAAGCCTGAGCCGCCGGAGTATTATTTACTTTGTGAACTCAATTAATGTAAACAAACCTGTAGGTCATGTAATTCTAATAATGAAAAATTACTATTTGAATTGTATTAGTTGACATAATGATATGTTTCTGCAAGATACTCTGACACGACCTCGATGCACATCTTGCACTTCAGTGAGATTGCAGTTTAACTCCCTTTAATTGAAGGAGAATTATATGATCGCTATTGACTAGTTTAAGTGTCAACATCAAAGCGAGGGATTTGTCTACGATAATAAATCACCAATATGTGAGGAATACTATAAGAGGGGACACAAAAGACAATCTAAAGACCCCGGAGAAGAAACAATCTGCATGAGTTTGTTCTATAATATTATACATATTTTCGTTTTAAGTATATAATGAAAGACAGTTTTGATGATAAAGTAAATATTTTTAGTCAAAGTACACAATTGTTATAGAAAATTCCCATTCGTACCTGAATGATGATGAGCAGACAGATTCCTGCACCCATCTCAGAGGGATCGCCATACATGCCGGTCATCACATATACGATGGCCTGGCCGATGGTGATGATCATTCCAAATACTGAAAAACATTAAGAGTTGTAAGACAATTTATGGACATACTTATAGATACCAACCATATGTTCACAGACGACCAAGTGCTGAGAGTTTACTTACATTTCTGAGCTCCATTGAAGAGGGCTCTGTCCTTTGGTGTGTCTCCAACCTCAATGATCT